TTCTGTGTAGTCCTGGCTGTCCTGGAACTCACTCTGTAGATGAGGCTGCTATAATATATGCTTTTAAAATTTTGAAAACTTAGCAATATAAACAACCCAGCAACAAAATATGAGCAGATGAACAGTAAAGTTGCTCACCAGGCTGGGGAGATGGCTCCGTGGTTAATGCACTGGCTACTCTTGCAGAGGACCTGGGTTTGACTGCCAGCATCACATGGAGGCTCTCAGTTATATGTAACTACAGTTCCAGGGGATCTGACACCTTTTTTGTTTTTGTTTTTTGGTTTGCTGCCTCTGTGGATACCAGGCATGCACATGGTACACATAGATATACACTCATACACATAATATTATTAATTTTATATTGAAACTTCTCAGTTAGTAGGGGGATTTTGAAACCTCAAAGTCCATCAGGAGAAACTATAAACCCAGACTTCCCAGTCTTGGTGGGACAAAGGACATGAAGACATTTCCGTTTGTTGTAGCAAGCAAAATCTCATTTAAGGAGGCATTCACTGGACCAATCAACACTTGCTACCTTCAAAAGGGAAAGGGTAATGTTGGGTTTTGTTTTAAGACAACCAGAGTGATTAATAATTAGACTGATTATGATGTCTAAATCACTTCTCCAAGTCTCGGCTCCCAGATTTGTTGTTGAATCGTTTCCAGTTTGCTCTCAATGGGGGTAAACAGTCCAGTCTATTTTGAACATTACCCTGTAGGGATAAGAGGGGTGCACTATTTCTTATCTGACTGATGATGTAGCTCAACAGTCATTTGATGACGATGTGGGGAGTGGTGCAGACAGTGAGAGGAGAGGCTTTCTTGCTGCAGCACACACTCAAGGAGGCTGACAGCATGACAGGTCTGTACCTACCTTGCTGGGCATCCCTGTTTCTTCAGGAACTATAGTGGGACAGCTGTAGAAGGCTAGCCCAGAACAGTGTGAGCCTTCTTCTGAGGCAGCCTAGGCTTACTCACCAGTAGAGGAATCCTTTCTGAGAGGGAGAGACCCTGTTTGGTGCCAAGGCCTCCAAGTACATAGCAATTTTGGTCTAGCTGTCACACTGGGCACAATGAACACATCACTTCAGTAAGCCTGCGTCTTCCAGCACCATCAGGGTACCAGACAGGACTGAGATAAATCAGATTTCTCCCAGTATCACAAATGCTGTTGGCGCCCTTAGCACATTGTCCTGTGTATGGCTCTGGGAATGGGGATGGCATGGCACTGAAGGACCCATCTGTCAAGTGCATGTCAAAGCATGGTTTGAATGAGAACAATCCCACAGACTCATAGCAATTTGGGGGACTTCTTTCCCCAGATGTACCCAGATCCAGCCTGGGGTTCCAGTTACGCTCTCTCCTCACATAGGTAATCTAGAATCATCCCACAATCTCCAGAGACTGGACAGATAGTTTTTAGACAACATCACATAAAACATGGCACCTGTGGTGTAAACACTATTGCCCCCCCCCCCATGCACACACAAGTGCATGCACACCTACACACGCTCAAACTTTGGGGCTTTCTCTGGTCACCACAGATAGGCCATCCTTCAGCCCAGAAAGACTGGAGGGTCCAACACACGGCTTTTAAACTGTCAGCCTGTGGCTTCCTAGTTGCCAACTTACAGCCCTCCCGACGGTGTCAGGATAGAGACCGAGAGGGTGGCATAGAGAAGAGCCAATGGCTGTCTAGAAAACACAAGGCTGCCAGGGACGTTTCCCCAATCTGTTATGGCAATGGCACAGCAATGTCCAGGAATGAAGACTAGTGGGCAGGGGAAGGGTGGAGGTGAGGACAAAGGAGTTTAAAGACAGACAGCAGGGTGGTGCCATTTCACTGATGCTCCAGTTGCTTCCATGTGGTTCATCTTGGTCCACACAGGTGTTAGGCTATGGCAAGGCCAGTAAGAACTGAGCTTGGGAAAGCTGAAGTTGGTCCGAGGTCCCTGAAATCTGGATCTGACTGTGGCCTGGGGCACTGGAAGCTCCTGTGGTCTCCTTCCCTAGAGATAATAGAACTTTATACCTGCACCTGGTTGCCAGCTTTCTTCCTGGGGGTGTCTGCAAGGTTTTCCCACGATCACACCTTCTTGAGGGTCACATTTCACATTGTTTTGGGGCCACTTGAAGGGGCTCCAAAAGCACATTGGTTTGCCAGGAAATTCCTGGGGCCTCAGATTTTCACTTCAGTTCTGCCCCTTCATTGCCACTCATTTATTTCTTTTACTCTTTGCCTCTTGCAGGATGATGCAGCATCCACCATAAAAGTTTGAATATTGAGTTGGGTGCTTCATAGCCTGGCACCTGGGAGAGGGCCCAGCACATGGCAGGCGTGTCCTTCATGATTCTCTCCCCTCCCGGGATGGTTTTTGTGCTCCATCAGAGGGAATGTAGCTTTACCACCTTCTGACCTCTGTCACCAAATCCAACCAGAAGGCTTGCGTGCTGAGGTAGCCAGCTGCCACAGCTGACCCAGCCCCTGACACATACTACCCAGGGTGCTTGCTGCTGTCAAGTACCCATTCCCCCCAAAGTTCATGAACTGAAGGCATGGTCCCCAGAACAAACAGTGATTACATATGTGGGTTTTGGAACATGGTTGGATTGTAAGTGCTCTGATTTCATCAATGGGTTAATTTATTGGTCTGTTCATAACTGGTGGCATTACTAGGAGGTATGGAAATGTCAGGAAGTAGAACCCCCCGGGGGGAAGCAGGTCACTGGAGCTGTACCTTTAAAAGAGTATGTCTGTGCCCTGCCCCCCACCCACTGCTTCCTATCACATGGTCTCTGCCATGATGCTCAGGCTTACTTCAGGTCACCTCAACGCAGCCATCCAGCTAAAGACTGAATAGAGACTGATGCCTTCAAGACTGTTAAAATAAACCTTTCACCTTGTGGTGGTTTGAATGGCAATGACCTCACAGGCCCATATGTTGGAAGGCATGGTCTTCAGTCAGTGGAACTGTTTGGCAAGGATTAGAAGGTGTGGCCCTGTTGCAGGAGGTATGTGACTGGGAGTGGTGGCTTTGAGCTTTCAAAAGTCCACACTATTCCCAGTTAGCTCTCCATGGATGAATTTGGGATGTAAGTTCTCAGCTATGGCTTTAGTGCCATGACAGCATGCTGCCATGCTCCCTGCCATGATGGTCATGGACTCGCCCTCTGAACTGTGAGCTCCAAATATATTCTATCTTCTGTGAGTTGCCTTGACCATGGTGTCTTTACGGCAATAGAAAGGTAAGTAAGGTAAGTTGTTCTCATGGGTATTTGTCAAAGCAGTGGGAAGCTGATTAACACACCAATCTTCACTGTAACTCACCCAACCCCACAACCAGCCAGTGAACAGTCTCCTTCCTCCTTGGTAGCTGTGGCCAGTGGCTTCACCTAGATAAAGAGACAAAGGAAGATATGGGGTGTGGTCCTTCTTGGACACCTGCAGTGGTGGTTCACAGCTACCTCTCCCTCCACTCTGCAGTCTAAGCTGTCTAAATATACAGCCTCCATTGTGGAGCATGGGGATGGGAACTACAGTTTAGAGATGACACAGCCACGAGAGATTCAAAAGTGGCTGGAAGAACAGGTCAGTTAATAGACGAATGGAGGCTGAAGGCCTCTCCAGACGGAAGTGAAAAATCAACCTTTTAAATATTTTTTCTATATGTATGCGTAGCACATGCGTGTGTGCACATGTGTGTGCCTGCAGCGTGAAAGCCAGAAACTGACATCAGGTGTCTTACACTATTGCTCTCCACCATATCATTTGACACATGGTCTCTCTCATGGAACCCAGAGTTCACTGGCTAGATTGTCTGGTCATTGAGCTCTGGGGATACTTCTGTCACTGCCCATGCCCCACCCTGAGTCACCTAAGATCACCAACAAACATATTTACATTATGATTCATAACTGTAGCAAAATTACAGTTATGAAGTAGCAACAAAAATTATTCTATGGTTAGGGATAACCACAACATGAGAAACTTTATTAAAGAGTTGCAGCATTAGGAAGATTAAGAAGCACTGCTATAGATCATAAACTAGATTAAAAAAAAATAAAAGGTTGGGGAATGCAGGCCTAGCAGTCTATCCAATCTGAGGATTGGATCAACTGGGGAACACACACACACACACACACACACACACACACACACTTGAATCAGTATTGCACATAGCATGGGCAGACTATCTTTCTGCCATTATTCCCCAAATAATATGATAACTGTTTAAATAAGCACACATGTCACAGTATCATGAGTATTCTTGAGGTGACTGAAGAATAAGAATGTGTGTAGCTCACATGACAGTATCACACCATTGTATTTTCAACCTGTGCATCTAAGTTCTGTGGCCTCTGACCAAACTCGGAGAATCAGCCTCATGTGGAAACTTGAGGATGATGCACTGCTGTCATTCCTTCTTGGGTCTTTGTTAAAAAAGACTCAAGGCAAGTGGTCAAAGCTGAGCAGGGTTTTTATTGCTGTGAAGAGACACCATGACCACAGCAACTCTTATAAAGGAAAATATTTAACTGGGACTGGCTTACAGCTTCAGAGGTCTAGACCATTATCTTAATGGTGGGAGGAAGCATGGTGGGTGCAGACAGACATGGTGCTGGAGAATGAGCTAAGAGTTTTACATCTTGATCTGCAGGCAACAGGAAGTGAACTATTTATCACACTGAGCAAAGCTTGAGCATAGGAGACCTCAAAGTCCAGCACCACAGTGACATACTTCTTCCAACAAGGCCACACCTACTCCAACAAAGCCACACCTTCTGACAGTGCCACTTCCTCTGGGGGCCAATTTCTTTCAAACCAACAAACCAAGGGAAGAGGGTGTTTCCTGTGAAGGCAGATGGTAAAAGTGGGTAAAAGTATTTTTAGGAAAAGAAGGACAGTGTCATTTCTGGTTGGAAAGAACACATACACACATATGCACATACATATCCCCCCCCCACACACAGAAATTAGTTATCAGAGAAAAGTGATCAGTTCAAGAAATTTATTTTGAAAATTTTTCTTAAGAATACACGTGATTTTACAAGGTCATTCATCATAGCACCAGGCCCAAAGTTCCGTGATAGAAAACTGTCGAGTAACAAACACTCCAGGGGTTTCCCACAGGTATAAATTATGCAAGTATTCATTTATATCTCCATTTACAATAATCAATAAATAAGAGTGCACATTCACACAGCGTATTTTTTTTACAAAGATCCCTTTGTTTTCATAAAGCTATAGCTCTACACACTAAATAGACAAAATACCCTTGTACCACAAAATAACACTTTGCTTTTGTCCCCAATAGTTCTGCAACTTTCAGGCATAAGCCATGAGATTCTCTGCCATGCCATTAAGAAAATATTAATTCTGTTAACGATATCCCAGGCCCCAAAGGAACAAAACACCCATCCCCATCCAAGGGGAATTCAAGACAGAATACCATCCTGTCTCCAGGCTTCACAACCTGTCCCAACAGTGCTTGGGAGGGAGGAACATTTTCCTGTTTGTCTTTGGCCAATATTATCAGTACAGAAGTAAATAATGCAGGTAGTTTGTAAGGTCCAGTTTCAAGGGCAGAACGCAGGGGCACCTCTCACTGTAGAGCCCGCACCCTCCTTACCACACCCTCCCCAGGGATGCTCTACAGAGCTCTCTTTGCTAGAGTAAGAGGAAAAGGCTGGGAGGGATGGAAAGATCCAGGCAGTAGCTAAATATTCCAAGAGCTAAATTCTTGAATTTCAAAGACATTCCCCCTGGGACACTGTCTGGGGTGCTGACTTAGAGCTCCAAAGTTTCACTTCAAACCTTGTAACTGTCAGGCCACCCACCTACACACACAAGGCACCTTTTTCAGACATGCAGCCTAATGCAAGCTCTAAGTTTTGGCAATTCACTCCTTGACACAAGCGCACTTATTAAGCGAATAGGCCACTTACAGAGATAAAAACAAGCAAGACTTTGCTAAGCCTGGAGCTTTAAGCCCTGAGAGGACCTTTGTTTGTGGTTCTCCAACCTTCCACCCTGAGAGGTAAGTGCATTGTCCGAGGTGTGATTCCCAGGCCAGGGTTGTCTCAAGAGTGGGAACTCCCCAACTTTCCTTTAAGACATTGTTTCTGTCCTCACCTGACATTCGAGAGCACAGGCATTCTGTGGCTGCTCTCCCCACACAGCCTTGCAGTCTAGGTGCCTACAGACTTGATGTGCTGGGAAAACAAGCATTCGCTGTCACCAATGAAACAAGCCTCGACTAAATGAGGTTTCTCTATTTCTTTCTTTTTAAATGATGCAAAAATTCGTGACTTTTAAACTTAAAGAAAAAAAATGATTCTCATGTAAGAGAGGGTGGTGATAACTTTATTCCACTCCTGTTTTAACGCTTGAAAATGTTTATTTGAGGGGCTTGAGAAATGGCTCCCATGACTCAGAGCACTTGCCACTCTTGCAGGCAACCTACATGGCTCGAAACCATCTGTAACTCCAGTTCCAGGGGACCCAGCACTCTACGCTGGCCTCTCTAGGCAGTGCACACATAGTACAAATACACACATACAGGCAAAACATTCACACACATTAACATACAAATAAAATCTTTTTTAAAGTTTATTTTGTGGGGATTTCTTTCTTTTTTTTTTTTGTCCATTTGGTTTTTTTGTTTGTTGTTTTTATTTTCTTCTTTTGAGATAGGATTTTGCTCCTTGAGCCAGGCTGACAATCTTCCTGCCCCAGGCTCCTCCATGCTAGGATTCTAGGTGTGCACCACTATGGCTGGCTTTCAATCCTCACTCTTCACTATGTTCTCCTAAACCCTTCTTTCTCTAGGTTTATGTTTGAAGGAAAAAGCCTGAAGCATGCATTGGAGGTGGAGACAGGGAGCAGTTGGAGGTAGGGCTCGGTGCTGGCTGAAGCTACTGAGGGGCTGTGGGTTTGGAATAGTGAGTTTTTGCTGCTACAAGCTAGAGCCAAACATATATATATTTGCTGTAAATTTACATTTGTAGGTTAACCATAGATTTCATGGGATTTAAGTAGCTATGCACAGGTTGGATCAAAATGGGCAAAAACCTGGTGGGAAGACAGTGGGCAGGGATGAGGTAAAGAAGGGCTGGCTCAGAGAATCCCACCCACTACTCCCAAGTAGACTAGAGCCCCCAAATCAGAATCTCCTTGGATTATCGCTTCATTTTTCTTCTTTTCTGGTGTGTGTGTGGGGGGAGGGGCAGATGTTCAAGACAACACAGGGTTTCTCTGTGTGTAACCCTGGCAATCCTAGAACTCACTTTGTAGACTAGGCTGCCCTTGAACTCCCAGAGATCCTAAGCAGTGAATCTCCTGCCAGAGTTAATTAGCTGGAGGCTGTGACCACCTTATCTCTGGAGCCAGTCTTTTTGATCCTCCCATAAGGAAATACTTCCCTGGACAGTTGGCCAAGTGAGTTTACAAGTAGACAATGGCTTAACACTTCCTCTTGTAAAAGCTGCTGGAAGATGAGGCAGAGTGGGCCTCTCGAGAGAAGCAGGCAGAAGCCATAGTCAAGTCAACGTCAGGGAGGAGGTGCAGTCCAGGCAAGGCTGTTCTGTCTCACTTTGGCTAACGGGTAAGGGAAAACCTCCACAGCAATTTTCAGACAATGATAGAGACACCAGCACCATGTCTTCAGTCACTCACCCAGATCCGAGATGTGCTCATGAGAGCATCCCCTCTCCGGGATAGACTAGAAGACTCACGGGCTACTCGGACGGAGACCCTTGGATGTTGCACCTGCCTCACCTGGAGTCCGATAGGAAAATCAGGGGTGATTCCTAAGGACAGTGTCTCTAAGCAAGAGAGAGAGGGAGGCTGGGCCTCAAACTGCACTCAGCCCTCTGGAGTTTGAGAAGATGAAATCTCAAGGAGGAGTCCATGTGATCATGACAATGACATTCACGGAAAGAGACTGCTCTCACCATGGAAGGCAGGCTATGTTCTTCCGAGGTGTCTCCTACTCCATTGGGTGACTTCTGGTGGTGAGATGCGCTCCACTGGTGTTCGGAGGCCTCACTGAGGGTGGCTGCAGTGTTATACAAGCCTTCCTTGGGAAGGAATGGCCATCCCAAAGCCACCGGCTAGAAAAGCAATGGGGCTGTGTGTTCTCGTTTTTGCTTTCTTCAGGTTTGGTTTATTTGCTTTTTGTTTTCGGTACCATCTTACTGTACTGCCCGGACTGATGGGGCAGCTATAGACTCACATGATCCTCCAGCTCAGCTTCATCTCTAAAGAGGACACTGAACCTTCACATGGTCCCCAAAGCCACCAAAGAGATTGTGACTTAGAGAATCCCTGCCTTCTCAATGCCACTGTTTACAGTGCAGGTGAGCACTGCTGACCGGGCTGAGCCCTGCAGTGGACAAACACAGGTCCTGGGTAAGAGAGCGTGTTGGAGTACATTTCTCCACTAAGGACACATCTGTCCAGCAGCCTCTAGACTTTGTCACTAACGCTAAGGAAAACCACAGCTTCTAAGGGGAAATTCTGCCCAAACTCCAAGCATAACTAGTAGAGAACCTTGTCTGCAAAGGCCAGTGTGGACAACCTGTTCCCTGCATGGGAGTTGGGGGTGGGATGGCAGGTATAGCAAGGGTAGAAACCATGTGACCTCTCAAACTACATCTTGTGAGGATTTTGGAGATCTAAGTGTTCTGTGAGAACAGGCAGCAAAACTAGAAAGGAAGGGAAGAGGAGGAGGAGGAGAAATGCTTCAAGCCACGACCTTCAAACAGAGCTTTCTTGTGCCACCTGATGCTCTCCCACCCTTGCTGTCTTATAGCTTCAGAAGATTCACCCAGGACACCGAATTTAGCAGGACAATGAGCCACCTAACCCACTATCAAGAAAACCCAAAGGCATTTATGGATCAAGATCACTGAAGCTGAGCAGGGTAGTGCATGCCTGTATCCTAGCACGTAGGAGAACGGGGCAGGAGAAACAAGAGTTCAAGGCCAGCCTGGGCTACTTAGCAAGACTATGTCTAAAAAAAAAAAAAACAAAACAAAACAGCAATGAAACTAAGTATACAGAACATATTGCTTACTTATTTTGTCAGTCAGAATGAATGTAAAGTAAAGAAAGTTCCGTAACCATGGACAGGAAAGAGTAGACAGGAGGCCACATACACCATCCATTCAGAGCTGCAGTAGAGTCCACTAAGACGGAAGGAGGGAAGGGTCCTCACACCATGTGCCTGCAAGGGCAACACTGAGGAACCTCCCACTTTGGCACCTAAGAAGGGCTTGTGCATAGGAACAGTGAAGGTGGGCTAAGACATGGTGCTAATTCTTGGGCCTCCTGCCCCTCCCATGCAGCCAGACAAACGCTTTGCCTCTCTAATAGAGAACAAGAAAAAAAAAAAAAACGCAACCTAGGCTCACAAGACTAAGCAAGGCAGGAGCAACTTCAGGTTCCATGGTGATTACTGAGACAGATTCTTCAAGGCCTGGACTTAGTACTCAGGGGTCTCTGGGTCCCACCCTATGGCTTATGCACCTGGCCAGGGGAGCATCTGGGAGATAAAACCCAGCCTCTGTCCTAGTTGAGGACTGATCTGCTCAGAGAAAAAGAAAATTGCCTACCTCTGCCAGTGAAACCAAGCGTGTATGGGTGGGTGGCTTCTGCCCAGAGGAGACAGGATTACTGCCCACAACTTAGCTCAGAAGCTGCAGTCCCCACATGCCCAAGACAGCATTTTCATGAAATAGGGATGCATGCATCACATGATCTAAATATACTGAGGAAACCCCGTATGGTACTGGTGAGAGCGGAATTCTCATCTAAGGTATTAGTAAGCCTGCTGTATGTCACACAGAAGCACAGAGGGGAATAGAAAAACAGCTTAAAGTGATAAAAGGGACTACCAGCACAAGCAAGCCTCAGGGGCAGCTGTCCTCATTTCAAACCTACAGCATTTTCTCATTTAACAGATGCTAAGCAAGGGTGGAGACATGACCCGTGGTGACAGGTGCATGCTGCTCTTGCAGAGGACCCTGCTTCAGTTCTTAGCACCCACACAGGGATCTGATACCTTCTTAGGGCCTCCATGGTACTTGTACTTATGTGTGCGCGCGCGCGCACACACACACACACACACACACACACACACACTTTAAAGTTAATCTTTTAAAAATGTCAAGGGATTGGATGGCTTGCCCAGCGGCTTTCCACAGTCACCTCTTCTATTCACCCCTACACTCCATGAGATTGCTTTCCCTTTTAAAGTAAAGCCGACTTCCTGCCAGCCTGAACCCAGCGACTCTTGAGCATCTTACCTGAAGACATTTTAAAGGCTGTTAGCAACTGTAGGAGGCGAGAGAAGCAGCGTGCAGACTTCTGAGCCAGGTCTAGTCCCATAAAACACATGATTCACATCTGGGCCAGCTCTTCTTTGGTACCTCATCTGGGAGAGAACTGCTGTGTGCGAGGACATAAAACATCTCACACAGAACCTTTATCATCTGTGCTTTTGAACTTCCAATAGGACCAGGGAGCTCTTTAAGTAAGTTCTCTTTCTAGGGAGCTTCAGGCCTTCAACCTGGAATTGCTCCAAGCTCAGAAGAGCTTTCCCCCTTGGAAGGCCTCAGTTCTTTCTGGGAAGGGAGGCAGATGTCAATTAAAATGGTTGAGAGGCCAGGTTTCTGGCCGTCATGACTCAATGTGCCACATAAATTGTTTTAATTTTATTTAAAAACAAGCAAGTCTTTGGCTTGCTTAAAGAGAATGACTCCTGGACTAAGAACAATGTTCACATACCAAAGGCAAGACGTGATGCTCCACCTTGTCGATTTGATGGCGTTTAGTATCACTATGGGACCACACCTCTGGATGTAACGCTAGAGGTCTTTCCAGTAGGTCTTAACTAAAGAGACACAGCCCACCCTGAATGTGGGCAGCACCATGCCATGCATGGGCTGGGCATCCTGGGCTGACAAAAAGGAGAAAGCGAGCAGCGTACCAGCGTTCGTGTCTCTCTGCTTCCTGACTGAGCGGTGTGACGAGCCAGCTCACAGTCCTGCTGCTGTGACCCCCTTTATCATGGACGGTGACCCGGGTACAGTGAGCTCCAAACCCCCTTCCTCAGTTGTTTTCTGCCACTTATTCTGCCACAGCAACAAGAGAAATGAGCAGTGCACAAGCCTTTACAGCTGTCAAGAACACTCTAGAAGGAGCTAAGGATAAGCCTGAAGGTTAAATAAAAGGTCGAAAACTGATGGCTTTGTTTGAGTGAGAACATTTTACTTAGCTTAGTTTTTTTTTTTTTTGCTTCCAGGACATTTGTGTACCTTGCTGGAAGTTTTCTCAAAAAAAAAAAAAAGGCGACAGTTCTAGACTGAGGGTCATGTGGTCTGTGAGCTCACGTCCAGTCTGCTTCTGGTGGGCTGTGTGACCTTGGGCAGCCTGCTTTGCCTCTCTGAGTTCAGCTAAATAAGATGTTCCCTGAGGCCTCCTCCTGACTAACAGCTTGTGGTTTTTATTATTACTTTTTTCTTTCTGTTTTTTTCAGACAGGGGTTGTCCGCATAGCCCTGGCTGGCCTCAAACTCGGAGATCTGCCTGCCTCTGCCTCCCAAGTGCTGGGATTAAAGGTGTGTGCCACCACTGACCGGCTCAGTTTACAGTTTTAAAAAGGGCTTTGTAGTATGTGCTTTTAGAGAGGGATGACAAGGGGAGGAGGGACCTAGAATCTTCTAAGACCTGAGCCTTTGCACAGAGAAGAGGGCAAGAGGATGCTGGGGCGGGGGCTGAGGACAAAAGTGGGGGTGAGAAAAGAAGCCACTCCTTTCACAAGCTGCCTGCCCTGGCCTATACACCCTGGTGCTTCCCACAAAGTCTTTTCAAGGTCTCCGTTATGGCTGACTATGAAGGATGCTGGTGCCAAGGTGTGCATCCTGAGTTCAGAAACCTGCAGAAACTCTTCCAGCTCCACCATGGGAGTTTATTCTGACCCCGGCACGTCCAGCACTCTGGGGCCCCACATGCAGCCTCATACGGACTTCAGATTCTGTACAGAAAACTCCGCAGGATAGGAGGAAGTCTCAGGGCTATCCAAGACAGCCAGAATCTTGCTTTTAACGCAAATCTAGACTGACTCCTTCTCCTCCTTCATCTGATGGGAGGTCCTACTGGTGGAGAAGGATTGCAAAGTACAGCTCCTCCTCAATCCAATCAATGCAAAAGTGAATTAAACACACAACCCTCCAAGAACACCAAGGTGAAAGACTGTGCCGTGGCTCACAACCAAGCTGGCAGAGAACCCTCTTCTTTGGAGTCTGCCAATGCCCAGGTGTAATTTCTGGGGAGCAGGCAGATGTGTGCCAGTGAACACAACAGGTCGTCAGGCTGGGAGAGGATCACGGGAGCCATAGCATCGTCACTCAAACACTCACATGTGGAGAACAGGGTACCTTCCTTCCTAGTATGGACTCTGTTCTTTCTTGAAATCAGGCAGACCCTCCCCTGAGATAAAAGTAAGTAACTCAAGCTCCTCCAGGAGCTTGGAAACCTACATGTTCACATGCTAAGCCCCAGGTTTGGGGTACACATTAGTAAGGACGCACATCGTTCAAACAAGGCACATAAGGAAGAATCCCGTTCACAAACCTAGTCACCAACCTGAGCTCAGAGCACACAGTCAGGGAGGGAAGCATGCTCTCAGGTCTTAGAGAACCAAGGGGAAACTGAGCAGAGACTGAACCAGACAGCAACAGGAGGTGGGGCCTGTGCTCCCTCTGAGGTCCTCCATCTCTGTAGAAGGGGCTCGACCCCGAACAGACAGTTAAGATGCAGGAGGCAAACTCCACCCGGGTTAGGGTCCTGTCTTTTTATTCTCCAGACACACGTTTCAGAGCCGGCTGACATCAAGTTGGGGGAAGAGCAGCAAGCAGTAGACCAGGAGCCACAGGAAAAGAATGAAATAGACCACGTCGGGCTGCTGTACGAACTGTGTCAGGGAGTCGTTGGGTGGGCTCTGGCTCCCCAGGGGCACGGCTTCTCCAGAGGAGTTGGTGCCAGTCCTGCAGAGGGACAGATAGGGGACAGGACGGTCACTGGTGAGGTCCCTAGGAGGAGCACATCCCGAACCTCAACCCAACTGCCACCCTGCAGATGCATCAGAAGGTCCCCATCTGTGTGTATGCTTCCGTCCAGGAAGCCCTTGGAATACCCACACAGATTCCATCTGTATCCATGACCCCTAATAGAAGGAGCTGTGCGGCCCATTTCACAGATGACCACAGTGATAGTCATGGGGCGGTAGTTGTCACAGGCCACACAATGACTCTGTGATGGAGCTGCTCCTGAGCCACATCTCCTGGGACACCCCAGAAGGAGGAGGTAGGACTACCAGCTCTCAGCTATGCCTCAGGTAATAAAGGAACTTAGATGATTTCAAAGCAGCCACCAGAAACAAAGTCACCCCAAGCCTTTGAGATATCACCTTCAGAGGAACTGCTAGCTTTGATTCGGGGTCAAAGTTACCTTTCTTTTATGTGGTGGGAGGCAGTGTTTAACATGCCATTTTGCTTTTGCCTGGCAGGTAATAAACGGTGCTGGCAGGAGAGTTTGGGTGGTGGTAAAAACCAAACCTCAGACCCAAATGTACCAGGGAAAAGGTAGAAGTGGTGGGTGGGGGACCAATACACAGAAGCCTGAAACATGAGCTTCTTGGGGCCATTTCCAGGCCTTGGATGGGGGCTGTGCGAAGCCTACGCCATCTCCCGACAATGACGGGTTAGTCTGTGACAGCTCCCATAGAGGGATTTACACCCGAATAACAGACACTGGGCACAATTTCTCTGGCTTAAAGTTGTCTGTAGGGAAAATATGAATGATATTTGTTTATATTTCCTAGCTGGAGGTAGGAAAAACTCCTGCACATGTCAAGTTCTTGTTTCTTTTCAGTGCCCTCCCTGATCAAAGCTAAAAGCACTCTCCCTAGCTGAAGGCTTTCTTGGGCAGAGAACTGAGATTAACATTTCTCTTTTAGGCCTGGGAAGAAAGCAGAGTGTCTTCCTTGTATTTGTCTTTTAGGAGCCAAAAGAGTGGAGGTCTAAAGGCCCCATTCCCGGGGTGTTGGGTAGAGACTACCAACCCCCATCATCTAAATCCTTCCAAGCCCATGCAAACCCACAGGAACGGGTCAATACGATGAGGTACTTCTGTGACTTAAAGGGCAGGGCCGCGTCAGCACTAAAGATTCTGTTCCCATCTCCAGGGTTCTAGGCGGACTGGTTGTTACGATAATTCGAGAACAATCAACTAGACAATCTAGCTCTCCACCAGTAACAAATACTTTCATAGACAGCCTGGCATGTTTGTATTCCCGCTTCATGTCTGCTCTGATGCCGTAAAACTGTAAAATCAGCTCAGTGAGCTTCTGAGAATTGTACCTGCAGTGGGACAGAAGGGACACAGGGTCAGGTGCTGTAGCTCTACGCAGGCGACTGGACTCTACCTCTGAAGTACTCCAGCACAGGTGCAGACTCAGAACCTACACCCATCTTCTCACTCACAGATTCCGAGCTCTGTTCTACCCCTCCGCCCTAACTCAAGATCTAACTTCCCCCATCAATTTACATTCATTTCATTTGGAATTAGCTATTTTCCCAAATAACTAATAGCATGATAAATAAGGCATAGTTTTTTTTAAAGGCCCCATGAGGTAGGACACACACACACACACACAGACATATGCACGAATATATATCCCCCCTCTCTATATATATCTATGTACAGATATATACATGTATCTAAATGAAGACATATGTGTATGTAATATATACACTTAAACCCCACAAACTCATGGAATGAGTTCACCAACCTGTTTAACACTCTGTTTCTCCGCTCATCCAGATCGGCTGCGTTCCTCAATTGAACATAGCTAAAATGGTCCTACAGTGAAATTTATAAACAAAACCCCGCAACCCAATTAGTAAAGATGAAATCTCTGAAACAGAAAACAAGGTGAGTTTAAGCTTACAAAGCCGACCGTGCCACGCTTTTCTCGATACTGCAGACATCTAGTTTCAAAAATCAAATTGCCAAACAAGAGATACCGCCCTGCCTCCCCCCCACCCTTGCCTCCCTGCCCGAGGGTGACTGGGAAGAGACCCACCCACCTCCTGGACAGGCTCTGAAGTAAGAGCCACTGCAGGTCTCAGCACCTGCAGATGTCATGAGGATCCTCTAGTGACGGGGCACCCTTAGTTTGACTGTGATCTTTCTAGGTGTGGGTGTAGAGTTGGGAAAGTGTCTTTTTTTTTTTTATGACAAAGAGGCCTTTGGGCTTTGAAATCAACGCTTTATTTACACCTCTTCTTGCCCCAACTGGATATCCAATTGGACTGTGCTTAACATGGTTTCAAGTGTGTCTGTCTTCTATCCCAGTGTAAGGTTGGTGCAGGTCAGTAATCCCAAAGCTCAGGGCTGGGAGGAGGGAGGATGGGCCGATAGGTACCGATTAGCAGGGGCCATAGAGAAGGAGAAATTCACATACTAACCAATTCCAAAGACCTATTAGCATGTCGCCGAATGTAAATGCTGGAGTCACTGTGGCTATTCCTGAAAAGCAAAAACACGTGGTGAATGGGCACCGCCCAGGGCACAAGGGGCCCAGTCACACAGTTACCCCAGCTGGATGCACAGTTGTGGCTTCAGACCCAGAGACAGCTTGTACCTACTCAGCCACACTGTTGAAGCACACAGCCAGGTGTTTCCGCAGACACTGGGCCTTCATCTATACCCAAATGCAAATCAGGGTTTTTAATAGAAAGCAGACCACATATTTCTAAAAAAAAAAATCTAGGATCTGGGCCAGGACTGGGGTCTTTATATACAAAAATTCTGAGGTTTGGGGCTTCACCTGCAGTCCCCTGCAGGTTAAGGGCAGGGCTGGGCCCAAGGCCCGGAGGCTGGACTTTCTCTTGCGACGTGGTGTTCCTTGCTATGTGGCTACTTTCTGACAATACAGTTCGAGGGAATACCACCATTTTTTCCTTTCCTACAGAAGGAGACTTTACGCCCAAATCTTTGAGGCCAACGTGGAATGCCCCTTGGTCTTCTGAGCAGAGCTGACGCCCACAAAGAGGGGCAGAAGAATCCTGGGCCATCAACTGTGGCTCCCGCTGAGAGCTGTCGACGCTAGTCGGGAACTGACATCCCTGTTCAGTGTTCTTCCTCTGCGGAATAATGGATCACGCCATCTGCTTCAGGATGCATTGGGTCTTGGCTTGCTGCCAAGCAGAACTAGGTGTCCGGGCTGTGCTATACACCTGACGACAATGTCATCTCACTTTCCTTTAAGCAATTTCTCACTACATGGCTTCCAGGAGCCTGGCCCTGGGCCTGAGCATATAATCTCAGAAAGTCCCTGCAAGTCAGCCTTGGTATCTTTCAATCCAGGTAGTATGACATATTCCGCGTTGCCACCGTTGTACAGGCATGAAGCAAAATGCAACCTCAGCGTCAAAAGGGACCCAGGGGTCCAGATCTCAGCAGTGTCCAGAGTAACCAGATCCTCCAAGACGCAGTGCTGGGTGCTGTAGAGCCCCTTCTTGCCCTCATGTGTGGGTAACGCTTCCTAACTCAACAGCGCATTCCTGGTGGGAGGGAACAGTGTCTCTGCTCTGCTTTAGCACACTTTCTCCTGGGTATTTTTACATTACAGCCCATCAATGTGAGCCTTGTAGTGAGTGTGAGCACTGCCCTTCACTCTCCCACGAACCAGGGGCTGAGGATCCATCTCCTGACCTCCAGAAGACAGGCGGAAGCAGGGCCAGTCATTCATACATTCATCTACCCAAAGAGTTGGGTGCCCGCTGCAAGTCAGGGCCATGCTAAAGTGAACTCCACGCCTTGCCTTTGCCTGGGCTGGAAAGTGAGTTCAAAGCCAGCCTAGGCAACTTAGATGCTTCCTCAAAATAAAAAGCCTAAAGAGGGCTGGGGAAGTAGTTCTGTGGTAGCCTAGCTTACTTGCCTAGCATCCATGAGGCTATGAGTTCAATCCCCAGTGCAGCGCAAAATGATAAAAAGATGAATGTTCTATTAAAAAAAAACACACAGGTGCTATGATACAAGAGTGTATCAAAAATAACCCATAAGAATTCCAGGACATCTGCTTGGAGGAGGTGTAATGGAGTTGCCCCCAGAGGCTGAGCTGGAGCAATCCAGGGAACAGAGTTGAATGCAGAGCGACAGTCCTCCAGTTTGAAGGAGCCTAAAGCAAAGTATGAACCCAACGGAGGATAGGAGGCCAGGACCAGAGGTGTGGAATACATGCATGAATGATCAGGGGGTCCTGTGGGTTCCTAGGCCAGAGGAAAGCTATGCAGGGAGTCCAGCTGAGTTGTGACCAGAAAGGTATGTATAGGAGAGAGGCACCCTGAGAATGGTCCCACGCTGTAACCTTGAGCCAGGTGACAACCTCCCAGAAGTTCTGTTTACCCTGGGGCCAGCAGGTAGAGGCTTCAGGATGCCCTCATGTAAGCTCACCTCAGTGCTACCTGTTACAATGGAGTTGCTGCAGAGCCCTCTGGGCTAACGAAGTTTATTTACCCACACCACAGCATCCTTAACCACAATGTGCCTGAGTGCGCTGGGGCGCAGGAATTGGGAGGTAACTGCTACCTGTTCTGTGACCAGTGACCAGACTCTGTGTAGGGTGTGTGGCCAAGCCGACGTCACACCCAGGGACACGGACACTTCTGTCTGTTCTCCTCAGCCAATATCTATTGCTTGGCTTTCTTGCACACACCCCCCCCCCCACAGTGATGTACTGTCTATTCAAGATGCTCACTCACCCTAAGAGAGTAAGCCCCTGCCTCAGTTTCTCAGTGAGAAGATCTCAGTGACGTACCTGGAAGGAACCTTGTGTTCACAGGGGTTTTCTTCAAGGTCATCTGAGGAGCGGACAGTCCCAGGGGCTATAAATAATGAGCTCTCTACTTGGTCCACATGTTTCCTTTTTTCTTTCTTTTTACTGCTAGTTGAGACTTCCATTGACTTTTCTTCTAATGGCTTTTCAGGGAGTTCCGGGTTTGGGGCTTCTTGGGGCTAGAATACAAAATAACCAAAATACAGGTCAGACTCCCCACTGAAGCAGATGGCATCATTGCCCGGGCTCTACTCTAAGCCACCCAGTGTCAATCCCTTCCGATGTGGATGGCCCAGGAGAGAAGCCCAACCCATCCCTGCTCCTTGTGCAGAGATCCAAGGCTCAGAATCGATGGAGGAAAGGCAGGGAGTTTTGGAGCCAAGAAGCTCAGTGATATGAAACCCTGCCCAACTCAGCTCCTTAACCTTAAACCACTGACGGTCACTCTTTGACCCTCACCCTCCCAGCTTTCAGATGGGTATAGTCACCATCACCCTCTTCCCTCTGCAGCACATCCCTTAGAGGGCAATGGCTTACAGCAGGCAATGGCTGAACTTGAGCCAGCTGGCCAAGTGCAAATGCAGAGTCTGTGGGAGAACACTGACATTGTGCCTTTGGTGGAAGGACCACAAGGCCACATCTAGTCCTTACTGGGAAGGGGACTATCTGGCCGCAGTCACACTGAGCACCTGATAGCCATCAGCCATGCCCCCCTGAAATCTAGAAGTGCGGGAACAGCAGGGAGAACCTGCTCAGCAGGGGCCAGATAAGGGATTTGGAGGCCAGGTCAGCTACCCTGAACAAAGCTCCAGGTAGGAACTGAAAGTGCTCTTAGCCACACGAGACCAGCATCCTTCATGGCTGAGCAGAGACCTTTCCTAGAGGGGAAATGATAAGAGGATCTTGTTTATGCTATTATTATTTTTTTAAACGATCAGAACAAGACAAACTTGCCATTTTCCCAGTCTTTGGCTTGCTCAGACAGTCTTTCCTTTTCTGGTAGGAGACAGACATGGGGCTCTCTACCACTATGGACTTTGCACATCCCCAGGGTAAAGTAGGGGCTGCGCTTGGGGATCAAAATGCCAAATGGGGTTGGAAGCAGCAGGCAAGCAAGGCTATGGGTCAGAGCCATGATGGTGTCAATATTGCCCCCTCTGGATGCAGGGCTGTGCTCAGAGCTGGGGACGGAAGCCTGAGCTGCTCTCCCCCTTCGCCCTCCCACTGGCCACCAGTAAGACATGGGGCAGGACGAGATTCTAAGTATTCGGAATGACCATATGGTTCCAACCCAGGGCTGCCCCAACCACCCTTAACTACCCATCGAACACTCCGCACACAGCAGGCGCTCAATCTGATTTCGGCAACTACGGGCAGAAAGCCTATAAAAATGAAGGGCCAGGCACTGAGGATGTGGCTGTGTTAGTGGAGAACTTAACAAGCAAGAAAGAAGCCCTGGGTTCTGTTCCCAGCACTGCATAAGCCTGGCAGAATGGTACTCAGAGGTGAAAACAGGAGAGTCAGACATTCAAGGTCATTTTTGGCTATAGAGTTAGTTTGAGGCTAGCCTGGGGTACCTGAGAGCCTGTCACAACCAGTAAAACAAAAAGAACGAAGGACCGGACTTGCATTTCCATAGGCTGCTCGCCCAAGGCCAAGGCCAGGATGTGATCTGCACGCTCACCCACCTACCTGCCTTGCCCTTCATAGCTTTTTGTCCCTGAGCAACCTGGAGAATTAATTATTCCAGTTGTCCCGCACATCTCCAGCCTAGACATCAGATCTCACTGAAGGCCAGGTCCAGCCCTGCCGGCTTCTGCCAGTTTCCCACAGGAGGCACTGCTGGGCAGAACTGGCAGCCCACGTGTGAAGAAGTGTGTGGATGGAGTGGCTTTCAGCACCAGGGAAAGGAGACAGCTGTGTCGGGCACCTCTGGAACCACCCACCAGCCCTCTTCTCCATCTGCCTTACAGCTGTGGAGCACATTGTTCTCTAATTCTCCCCGTTGTCCCAGATTGACAAACTGAACCACAGCAAGCTCTGATGATGGCAGTGTGCCATCTCAATCCTAAGCATCTCTGGGGGCTCCCCACACTCTCTTGCCTGCAGCCACGCCCCCCCCGAGTGTAAGGTTTTCTCAGCCCTCCCAGTACCACTCACGAGCCCAGCTATGTCTCCCCATTTATCCTCTTGTTTCATTCCCAAAGCGATATGCACTTGACCCCTGCATTTGACAGACTTGTCAGGCACCACACTGGTCTCTAGAGTCCAAGGATGAATAACAGATAGCTACTTACTCTTGGGATGGAAAACCAACAACAACAACAAAAATCCCAGCCCAGTGATGGAGGTGCACACCTTTAATCCCAGCACTCAGGAGGCAGAGGCAGGTGGATCTCTGTGAGTTTGAGGCCATCCTGGTCTACAGTGAGTACCAGGACAGCCAGGGCTGTTACACAGATAAACCCTGTCTCAAAAAACAGATAAACCCTGTCTCAAAAACCCAAAACAAACAAACAAACAAACCCCCAAAACCAAAACCATGGAAACAGGAAAGAACCGGCAGAGTGTGATTGGCCCCAGCTAGGGCAGCAAGATCTCTGCGAGGGCAGGACCTGGGAGGAGGCGACCATGGTACAGAGCTCTGAAGGGTGAATGGCCACTTAATAATGCTGCGAGGGGAAGGACCACACAGGGCATGGGTGTCTGAGAACCAGGAGAAGCTGGCTTTGCTGGAAGGAAGGCAGAGAGGGGTGGAGAGTCAGGTGGGAGAGGAAAGCGTGTCAAAGGTCATGTTAAGGAAGTGGGGGTGGGGAGAAATGAGATGACACTTGGGGTCTAGGGGCCCCTGTGTGGGACACTCCAGACTAACTGGGAGAGATAAGAAGTGAAATACAGAGGAAAAGATGAAGACAGAGACGGAGCTGATCTGGAATAAGCTGGTTCCATTCCTAGGCTGGTTCTAGCACTCAGGGAATGTCCCCCACCGTGTAGCTTTCCCACACTCTCCAGCCTCTCTGGGTCTGAGGAACCCTTTGCAGGGTTACCTCCACATCAGGTGCCATTCTGTGTGCACCGCTCTAGGCAGTGTGGCACACCTCTCTTCCCTCACTTTGCCATGACGCTGGTCATGATGGTTCCTTCAAAGGGCTGAGCCAGTGGTTCTCAACCTTCCTAATGCTGGGAGCCTTTAACAGAGTTCCTCATGTTGTGGTGACCTCCCAATCATAAAATTACTTTGTTGCTACTTTATACCTGTAATTTTGCAACTGTTATGAATTGTTACGTCAATATCTGATCTGCCGGATATCTGATCTGCAACCTACGTGAAAGGGTCATTTGATCCCCCAAAGGGGTTGCGATCCACAGGTTGAGAACCACCGCTGAGCTGACAGACAAGCTGCTGGAGCTGAGCTCAGGTCATCTTCCTCCCATCCATCTCTACATCCCAGCAGGGCTTAGAGACACCCCCTCCCCCACCCACCCAGGGTTCCCTGGGCTGCAAGGTATTTCTTTGTATGAAGACCTTCCCTGCTCCCCGGGAAGTCAGGCTAGGGCTCTGTGCCCCTGTACCCTCCTTGACAGAGTAGAGACACAAGAGGCTGACAAGTGTGTGCTCAGCTGCTTGAGATTAGAATCAGTGGCCCCCTGCCTGTCTATGCCACCCACAGCAAGTCACCAGAACACAGCCGAGGCATCTAAGAAGCATACCAATCAATGTGAGTTTGCCCTGTCCCCCGGGGGCCTTACGAGATGACCTGATAGTTCACCGTTAATGGCTGTTTTTAAATGATCACCTGCTGCTCTGCTGGGCCCTCACACACAATCTCATTTGTCCTCTTAGAAGCCCTTTGAGTAGGGTGTGGATTGGAATAAGATCAGTGGTTGCAAAATTTTAGCAGTAGCTCCAGTTTGGGTGTCAAGGCAGTACCTGCTGGAGTCTCGTGGAAGAAAAAATTAATTCTATGCTTATGGGATCATAAGGGAAGACTTACAGAGGGAGAAGCTCTTAGTTCCCAAACCTCAAGTACCTGCTGGCTCTCCACGGGGCCATTCTCTTTGGTTTCCCTCTGTTGTTGGTCCTCATAAGAGGGTGGAGAACCAGGTCTTGAGGTTGATGTGGGCCCCTCAGAAGTCCCATCAACATGAGACGCCTGGTCACCGGTGCTGGGGTGGCCGTTGTCAATAGGCGAGGAGAAGCTGCAGCTGCTTTGGGAGCTGTGGGCCTCCTCCTCCTCCCTGGAGTCCTGGAGATAGCCCTCTTCTGGCTCCCCTAGATCTTCGCCTTTCAAATCCTCCCCACCTTCCGCATAAGCCTCCAGTACTGCAGCCAGGGGCACCTCGTAGTGCGGGTAATAGAACAGGTCATGGGGGATGACGGAGATCTTCGAGAGTGGTGGAGAAGGCTTGAAATCCAGCCCTTCTTCACTGTGACTCCTCAGCGTTTCCAGGCTGACGCTGGTACTTGGAGGGTTGGATGGCACTTCTCCGCCGACCCCGGAGAGGCCTTCTGCTTCGCCTTCTTCCTCGCTGCGATGCCGGGTGGACTTTCTCTTGGCCTTTTCATACACTTCGGGTTTCTTATCTGTAGGCGTTTCTTCTGGGGGCAAAGGATGGTCTTGATCTTGTTCCGGGCCCTTGGGAGGAGGCTCATGCTTGTCAGCCTCCGACTGGGATTCAGGTGACTCTGTCTCTGCGTGGGGAGACTTTGATTTCCTTTTCCCCAGTTTCTCAGTGTTATTCTCTAGCCCCTCTTCCTCCCCAGGGGTCTTCTCAGGGGGTGAGGGATCCTCACCAAAAGCCTGGCTGGTGGAGGCAAAATCTGCGAGGTCCCTGTTAAACTTGGAAGCCTTCAGTGGGATGCCTTCAAAATAGTCATCTTTATCCATAGGCTCGACAGTAAGCAGCTGAACCTTGAGTTCTGTGGAGTTGGCCAGGATAGTATGATCTGCAGGAGATGAAAGAGAAGGGCCTTTCTCACCTTGGCTAGCTTCTACACTGCCATTACAGAATGAGGGGTCCTGAGGAGGCTGATCATGATGGGGCACACCATCCACACCAACAATGTCTTCAGGGCCCCTGTCTGAGGCAGTTTCAGGCACTGGCCTGGCTTCCTGTTCTGTCTTCTTTTCCTTGGCAACCTCAGCCAATGAGCCATGATCATCCTCCTTCGGCAGATCCTTTGCTGCCCTTGGGCTCCCCTCAAAGCGGAAGTCTGAGTTGTAGAAAGGGTCTTTGCTACATGAGGCATCCTTGTGCAAGTCAGCCTCAAAGTGGACGGATTTCTTGATCGGCAAAGAGTTGGACCTCCGGCCGTCCTTTCTTGTTGATAAGATGGAAGATTCTGGAACTGGCTCGGTGCTGGATCCGGTCTTTCCTGGGCTCCCCTGGAGGACTTGGTCAATAATCTGGTGCATAAACTCAGTCGCGCTGTCCGACAACTCGTGGCTGGGCACGACACCCAGACAGAAACCCTTCGTGCTCTCAGGCTGGTCACAGACGAAGACTTTGGCAGGAGGCGGGTGGCTGGTTTCATGGTTGACAGTGTAAGCTCGCTCTCCATTCTCGCTGAGGAGGAGGACCCGGCTCTCCTGTTCAGAAGGGCTTTCTTTGATTCGGACAAAGGTGGACTCGATGGGAGCTTCTTTGTCTGGATTCACAAACTCTTCCTGCCAAGAAACCCAAGATAACATGAAATCACAGGTTCCACCTTCAAGTACAAACCCAAAAAACAACAACAAAGCTACGTTAACCAGAGTTTTCCCGCTGAGATGCAAAAATCTCAGGTCAATAAAAACATGAAATACGTTTTTTTGAAACTACAGGTGCAAAGAGACTATCAATGCACTCAGTGGGGTGTTGGGTATACTTCAGTGAGCAGCACCTCAGCCGCTTTACCCTGCCAGAGAAGGAGCTAGTCTGCCTGAGGTAAGGAGAGACCAGTCACCTTTCTACTGACCATGTGGGTCACTAGGAAAGCCTGAAGCTAAAAGTGGTCCAGCAGTAACTCTCACCAGAGTCTCGTGATTGATTCCCCCCAGGGGCGTCTTCAGTGGGAGAGCCCAGGCAGGACTGGGAAGCAGTCCCTGTGGGGACTGCAGGGCTGTCTGGGGTTCTGGTGAGTGCAGGGATAGAGTGGACTGACCTCAGAACGCGAACCCAGACAGCAGAAATGAACTAGCACCAACACGCGTCTAGGTTCCTGAAAACGGTCAGACCGAGCAACTGCCATCTCGGGTTCAGGAGGAGGCTATATCCCTTGCTTGGTTGTATTCCCCAAGGGTGCATGTGTTAGAAGTTTGGTATCTAGCGTGGCTATAGGAGGCACGGAGGGACCTTTAATGGATGAGGCCTAGTGCAAGGTGATTGGGCCACAGGGAGTTCTAACCTCAGAAGGAACTGACATCCTCCTCATAGGACCCCAGTTCATTGTAGAGGAAGCTGCTTTCAGAGTGAAGAGCCAAGTGGCTCTCTGGCTGCCTGTCTTGGCTATGTGACCTCTTTGTCTCACACACACTTTGACTGTAATGCCCATGAGGTCCTTTCTAAGGTGCTGGTGCTAACTCAGACTCTCTGAGAGTCAAATCTCTCTCTCTCCAGGTTTATATATTTTTATTTTATGTGTATAATGTTTGCGTGTGTGTGTGTGTGTGTGTGTGTGTGTGTGAACTGTGTGTGTGCCAGGTGCCTACAGAGGAAGAAGACGGTGACAGATCCCACCCTGGAACTGGTTGCAGATGGTTGAGAGTTGCCATGTGGATGCTGGGAACTAAACTTTGTAAGAGCAGCAAGTGTATTTATCAGCTGAGCTATCTCTCCAGCCCCAAATCTCTCTTCATTATATGTTATCTAGCATCTGGCATCTTGTTGTAACAATGGAAGACAGAGCAACATAGAAAAAGAAAGCCTCAGTAGCTACTCTTATTTTGCATACTGTCTCTGCCAAGAAAGAAAACCAAATTAAGGAAATAAGCAGGAGAATGAAGCCTACAAACAAGGGAGGCAACAATCACCAAAAGTAGACCCACCTATAGCTCAGGATTGGAATTACAAGGAAGGCTCTAGAACAGCCAGCGTATGCTGCAAAAACTACAAAAGACATTCTTTAGGAAATGATCACAGATAGAAACCCAGACCTGAAGAGGGGCAGAAAGCACTCTCAGAGGGTAAAGGTGCTTGCCATGTAAGTCTGACGACCTCAGGCCCATCCGCTCCCACAAGCTGCCCCCTGATCTCCACGAGCTCACCATGCAAGCACACACTCCTGACCTTCCCCTACAATGTATACAACAACCAAAACAACAGTAATAATAAAATATATTTTACAGTTTCCCTTAAAAGCCTACTCCTACTGACTACTTAAAGCAGAAGGAGGAGGAGGAGGGAGGAGGAGGAGGAGGAGGAGGAGGAGGAGGAGGAGGAGGAGGAGGAAAAAGCCCAAACACAAGTATTAAAGACTAAGAAAGGAAAATCAATAACACAAAAGAATGTATCACACACACCACAGGCTGAAACAGGCTGCTCTGCGTGAACCAAGACCCTTGCTCCTGCCATCATGTCCTTCTCAATCTCTCTAGTCCTAGGCCTGAAGAAGCCACACTTAGATTTGCTGAATCTTGACCATGACCTTGAATAATCATACTGTCAACTTTTAATTCAGTGCTTCACAACCTTGGGTCATAACCCCTTTGGCAAACCTATACCTCCAAAAATATTTATTTATTTATTTTTAAATATTTATTTATTTATTATGTATACAATATTCTTTCTGCGTGTATGCCTGAAGGCCAGAAGAGGGCACCAGACCTCATTTCAGATGGTTGTGAGCCACCATGTGGTTGCTGGGAATTGAACTCAGGACCTTTGGAAGAGCAGGCAATGCTCTTAACCACTGAACCATCTCTCCAGCCCTCCAAAAATATTTAAATCATGATTCATGACAGTAGCAAAATTACAGTTATGAAGTTGTAATGGAAATAATGTTATGGTTGGGGTCACCACAGCATGAGGAACGGTGTTAAAGGGTCACAGCCTTAGGAAGGTTGAGAACCACTGTTTTAATTGTTTTTCGATTCTGCCTCTGGGTTGGGAGCTCAGGCCTAGTGAAAACCCTGCTACCGAAAGTGGAATTCTATAGCAATTACTGCCACCACCTCTTGTTGAATGTTCATTCTAAGCCACGAGCAAAATCAGGTTTTTCACACAGGTAGTTACTTTTTGCACAAGCCTAAAATGTGGGTGATGCTTTCCACGTTTGAAGGCATCTGATACAGATGTCAGAGAGGCCAAGGAACAAGCCTAGGTCACAGAGCTTCAAGTGGCAGCCCAGAAACTCCTCTTCAAAATATCATGGTGCCGGAAGAGGTGGGAACCACACATAAGGGTCCGGCAGTAATCTAACCCACGGCTCAGAGGGCCACTGGGAGTCTCTGCTGTATAGCATAAGGCTCCAGTATCAGTGGTATTTTTACGAGAGCCAAGAACATGAACTTGGGAAACACAGAGCTCCGCAGTCTGCCGTAATGCTGATTTAGATGACTGTGTGACCCTGGAGAGACCTTTAGGACTCTCTGGACAGTGGCGTTCTCATATGTAATAAGAGGATAAAGGAGGTGAACCATACAGGACCTTTGGAATGATAGCTGCGGACACAGCCTCCAGCTACAAGAAGGTCCCTGTCCCCTAACATTTTTTATTTCTTTAGGCGTGTGTTTTTTTTCTACCAAGCACTTAAGTCTCCTGGAAACTGTGATCATCTACCAATGTGTTAACTGCCTTCTTTGCTAGGTCAAAGTTGCATCACCCTAAGCCTCACCTGTCCAACTGACTTTGTCCTAATTTTTAACTTGTTTTTTTTTTTAAATGAAGTTTTGCATAACTGGAGACCAAACCCAGAGCCTTGTGAGCACTAGTCAACGTCGTAGCACTGAGCTATGGCCAGGTCCGGTTCAATTACTTGCTGAGTTCCCTGAGCTGGTGCTAGGTATGCAGTAAGTGGAAGATGGCTCCCACCATAGGCAATGGTTTTTGTTCTTATTGTTACTATTGTCTCAGGGTTAGATGTACACATGTGTGTGTTCAGTGAAACCATGACAACTTCATCCCTGTCCCAAACCTATCTTCAAGTATGATCTGGGATTCTAAACAGTAAAAGGGGTGGCCAGGGAACAGAGGCACATAATTGTATTCCCAGAGTGAGGAGATGAGGCAGGAGGATTGCTACATGCTCAAGGCCAGCTGGGGCTATAACATGAGATCCTTCCTCAAAAATGCTACCCCCCTCCCCCCCAAAAAAAATTCCCCCTAACACACACACACACACACACACACACACACACACACACATACACACCACACACACACAAACTCCACAAGCATGCTTTTGAATGGTCATTCTCTATTATAATTTTGAGCCTTGGTAAACATTGGTGAACTACTGGGCTGTTCCAGTGGGCATATTAGAGTGAAGTCTGGATGACAGGGAACTTCTGTCACCTGAATCAAGTTTGGAATTGGAAGAAGTATGTGTGAGATATGACTGGCTTTCTGTCCCATCGGAGAGCCTGATGTATGTCACAGATGGTTTAGAAATTCAAATAAGGCAAGGAACTTGAGGTCACTTTGTTGCCACCAACCACATAGAATGACACAGCCAAGCCCCTGCAGTGTCCCCTGGGGACCCAGTGAAAACGCACAGTTTTGAATTAAAAGTAAGGGAAAGAAACGTACAGGCTCCAACTCTGGAAAGCGTTCTAGAAACTGGGCCACATACGTCACAATGGACTGTTCATCCGGCATGTCAACCATGATGTCTGTTGAGAGAAACACAGCATTAGCAAAGACACATGCTTTCTCCATAGGACCACAGGGCGCTGGTGAGGAAGGCACACACGTGAAGAAATTTAGGCTCAGAAAGAGCACGATGCCTTTGGCTAAGGTCCCACAGCTGTCTGAAGGACAGATGAACTGACGTGGAGAACCTGGGATCCTACACTCGGGACTTTGCCCTCTTTCCTTGATTCCCTTCGCTGCGAGCAGTCAGCTCATTGCTGGGCCCATGAATAAGCACATCTGGTGACCATGCTAACCTGCTGCAGAGAGTCCCAAATTAAACACCCAATGTGGAGTGCAGAGTGACAAAACAGAGTTGTGCACCTTCGAAAGGAGTGTACTCCCCTAACTCTGTCATTCTGCAGGTGGGAACTGGTCCTTGAGGTATAGGCAAAGGCATGTTGGGTAAGTAAGATGTTTACGGTCATGTTGTATTAAAAAATGATCCTTCCTGCTTCCCTTCTCTTCCTCCATTTATTCTTTCTCTCTCCTTCCTTTTCTCCCTTCTTTCTTCCATCTACTGAATTGGAGATCTAAGCCATGGCCTTACGCTTGCCACAGAGCTATGCCTTCAACCCCCCTGAAAAGGTCACTTCTGAAGTAACTTCAGTGACTCAAATACGGAGGTCCTACAGGTACTATGCAGCCAATATAAATATATAACCAGGAGATTATAGAAATATACTAGCTAAATATCGATATTACATTTGATGAGTGAAAAAAGAGATAAAATTATATATATCCTAAATTATACCAATTATGTAACGATATTATAATTAGATGCACAGAAAAAAGACTATAACATAAAAAGTATTTTTTTCTTCATTAGGCTTTTATTTTTATTTTCTGAGTTTTCTACCTGGAAGAGCAGATGGCATATTTGTAATAATAATAACTAAAGGACAGAGAGGTCACTGTACCTTCCGGCTCCAGGAGCCTAGGGATGTGTAAGGTATCGTGTGCAATGCTGAAGGCCTTCTCCAGATTCTCCCGGGTGGAATCTTCCAGAGCCTGCTTCATGTCCACCAGGCTGGGATCAATGGCTTTGATGACAGCCAGGAAAGCCAGCCCACTCCTCCAGCTGCCCGCAAAGTCCTGGACCGCCACACCATACCTGATGGAAAGTAGCAAGATAGCAACCACCCAGACCAGGAAAGGAGCCTGATGAGGAGGTCTGCACGCAGCAGCCTCACTAGCTGACCTGAGAGGGCTAGGTGTTGTTCTGTGTCACCCTGAGAAGACACCCCGGCCCTGACCATCACGAGGGCCACCCTGAGAATCTTCCAATGGAGCAGGAGGTACACATTATCCCAAAAGGCAGCCAGACCCTTGGTTCCCAAGTCTCTAAAAACATGAAAGAGATTTTTTACGCTGCACCCATCACATGATGATGGAAAGCGGGCACAGGGGGATATGCTCTATTACAGACAGAGCCAGGAAGATCCAAGTGCCTATCTCAGCTGTCCCTCCATGCTTCTGCCTCAGTGACCTTGACTGGGCGCAGACCCTTTCTGAGCCTCTAACACTTTAGTTAGAAAACAGAGTGAACACAGGATGACCTTGTGGGGTACTGTGATTTGGAAGGGTGAAGTTCCCACAAGAATGTCCTCATCTAAAGCAGAACTTGGTGTGTGGAGCAGGAATACAAAAGGCACACGATGAGTGTCAGCCAGCAGCACCATGAAGATACATAAAATCACAACCTTTTTCCTTCGTGTGTGTGTGTGTGTGTGTGTGTGTGTGTGCGTGTGTGTGTGTTTGCATGTGGGGGAGGGGCACATGTGTGAAAGCTTGAGACCAACATCAAGGAGTCTTTCTTAATTGTCCTCCATTGTATTCACCGAGGCAAGGTCTCTTGCTCAAACCCGGAGCATACTGATGTGGTTAGCCTGGCTAGCCAATCTGCCCTGGGGATCACTCATAGTCCTCTGAGCTCTAGTATTACAGACGGGCTGCCGAGCCTGTAGACACTGTAAATATGAACATTCTTCCTCAGGCTCACCCAGCAAGTATTTTAATCACCGAGCCATCTCCCCGGCCCGAAAGCCGTACCTTCGAAAGAGAATGATGCCAGGTGCGGGTTCTCTTTAGACTCCATCCTTTCATGTCTTATTATGCTCATGGAATTAACAAAAATGTAACACCTTCCAAATGCTTCCAATGTAGAAGCTTCAGACCGACCCCTAACAGGTTGCAAACTCCCTAGGCAGAGCTCGTGCCAGCCTTGGCCCAGTGACCTGATCAGAGGACATTCTCACAGCCAGGCACCCAGACAATCTTCAGTAGGACTGTCAACCAAGCCAAAGTCACCAGCTGCCACATGCACTTGCCCAAGTGCAGGGACGCATGGGTAGCCACAGTGGGGCCATAGAACACTCCCATCTCCCCAGCTGCCAACTCTCGTTCACACTCACACTGGCCCCGACAATGAACTCTTTGGCTTGATTTATTTTTAAACATTTCCTGTCTTTTCATAGTAACCTATTCTAATTGTTTACACTCAACTCCCTCCTTCAATTCCCCAAAGGTCTAGCCTCTTCCCAGTCCCCGGGAGGTGTGCAGAAATGTATGAAGTGGCTGTCAGGAGAGGTACAGCTGCTCTCCCCAGTTCTGTCACAACTGTCTTGGAAGGCCTCTCAACAGGGGAAGCTTGAACAAGTAAGTGAGGTACCAGCAACTACCACCTAGGTTGTACACAGATGAGCTGTCTCCGAGTGGGTGTGGCTTCCTCTACACTAACTTGGCACCTCTGACTAAGGCCCAAGATCTGCCAGTAAAAAACCTGATAGAAGACTGCTATAACCAGGCTTAGAAAATAGCAAGAGTGCTGACTGCACAAAGCTGGGGACCTGAGTTTGAATCCCCAGTGCACACGCAAAAATCCAGGCACCGCTGCCAGTGTATGTAAGCCTGTCCCTGGGGAGCAGAGACCGGAGGATGCCAGGAGTTTGCTGGCCAGCCTAGTGGAAATGGCAAGCTTCTGATTTAGTGTAAGACTCTGTCTTGTTTTTTTGAACTTATAGAGGTCCACCTGCCTCTGCCTCCCAAGTGCTGGGATTAAAGGCGTGCCCCACCACTGCCTGGCAAAACTCTGTCTTAAGAGAATAATATGGAGAGCAGTAGAAGAAGACCCCTGATGCTTGCTCTGGCCTCTACATGCTCATGTGTGTGCGTGTCCCATACGCTTACATGCACACACCACACACAAACTGGAAAAGCACATCACATCCCTGTTCTGATGGCTTGTGAGAATCATAGGACCCGTGGATACCTAGCACCTCGGCAGATGGAGTTTGATGCACCTTACCCACCCAGGTCCATGTGTACCACTCCCTGGGCCTGGAAACAGCCTTATGGGGTAGGGTGTACCCATGGTGGACACCGGTGGGCCTGAGGCAGGTGATAGACGGCAGCTTACTTTCTTGTTTTCCGCTGCACCCACGCCAGCAGGGTCTTGATGGCCTTCCTCTGGTCTTTCACTGATACCGCCATACTCCTCTCTGTGGTGGGGGTGGGTGGGTAGGAGGAGTCGGAGTCTGTGCCCCCCGAGCCAGGTGACAAGCTGGAAGATGGGGAACTCCTGCTGAGGTTGCCCGTGAGCTCCTTTATCTAGAGAGGAAAGGGCAAGTCAGACCCAGTGATTCATAAGGGACCCCCGGCCAGTAGGTCACTCTGACCTGCATCCACGAGACCCTGGTTAGAGAGTCCAGGTTGTGTAGACATGGTTCTCAGTATATGAGAAGCTTCTCCTGAGATTCCCGTGGCTGTCACCAGCCTAAGCACACACACCCGTCTTTTGACCAGACTCTCTCTGTTCCCCTATAGCCTGGCACTCCCAGAATGCATCATGCTTCTTCAGGCTTCACCGTCCCTGTTCACTCTGGGCCTGTTGCTGGCTGTCCCTTTCTCCAGCATTGACATGGGGGGAAAACAGAAGCTCAGGCCTGCTCTACAAATTCAGACAGCATCTCAGCACCATGTACCTGCAATTCGTATGCACAGAACATCTGAGAAGCATCGCTCAGTGCACACTCCTATCCACACTGCAAAACACTATCTGGTCACTTCCTCGTGTTTTCCTCATTCTGGTCATCCCCTTATGTTAGCTGTCCCTGCTCAGAGCTCTTACAAAGCCCTGCTCACACCTCAGTTGTGACCCACATCCTCTAGTAATACAGCATCCACGTATCTTTGTGACTCCCCCAAGACGACAGAGTCCTGTCTTTCTAGCATCTGCAATACTGAAGAAACTCAACAGATGTTTACTGAATGAGCAAAGGAAGCTCTGGGGTGGATTTAAGGCATTTAACACATTTCCTGATGTTCCCGGCATCTCTCAGGAAGTCAGGTTAGAGTGACCGAGTCTTGTGCAAATCTCTCACATGGAGCATGTCTTGTGACCACTGTTGCATTTGCGGATGTGGGAACCTAGGCTCAAGTTTAAGGCTTAGACAGAAAGGGATTCATAGCTTCAAATAGTGCTTGTGCATGCACCTCTCTGGACAGCAGCAGCCCTAATGCCCCTGGAAACCTTCCCCTTATGGACCGCCTTTATATCTAAACCATGAACCTCAGTCTCCACTTCTTGGTTCTCACTCAGAAAATGGCCAAGTCTGACTCCATGGAAACTAAGCCTTATGATGTCCCTCGATGTGTGCATGCTGTTCTGTGGTTAGAGCAACGTTCAACATGACAACCACGTGCCAGAGAATAGCGGGTTTACCTGGAAGAAGAGAATGATGTTCCATATCAACCCGAGAACCAGCGAGGGGTTGCCATCCGCTATTTCTGCTGCATCGATGCTAACCAGCTTGACCTGGAAAGAAGTAGTTGATGAACGCAAAACCCCAAGGAGTCTGATCTACCACCTCCACCACCACCCAAGGCCTGACGCTGCTGACTGCACAGTTCTATTTGTCTTGGGGGACACCCAATATGTAAAACTGTATTCCATAAAAACATACAGTGCTTACCGTGGGTGGACGCCACCCTAAAGCTTTACAAGCACTTATGAGGACGGAGTCAGTTTACCCCAACCACAAGCCTATCATGTAGACACTTCCCTTACCGCTGTGTGTCAGGTGTCAGCAGGGCATGCACTGACATGCCCAGATAAATACAATCTGCCCAGAGCCACAGAGTGTGCAAAATTTCCACCATTCTCTTCCAAAAAGGGAAGGCAATAGCACAGGAAGCCTGTATGTCACACGAATACCACCAAACCCCCTGATTGAGCACACCCTTGACCAACTCAGAGCACCAACATCAGCCATCAGAAAGACAGAAATAGTGAGCCCACCACAGCAAGGGACTCTGCATCTCTACAGAATGCTCTACACGCCAGCCTGAGAAACTGTCCGGAGGTGGCTCATTTATTTCACCTGTGTCTGACCATGCAAAGATGTTCCCGATGAACCCCTAAGGCTACCTGCGGCCCGTGAACCTGCAGCATCCCAAGGATGTAGTCAGGGAGGTTCAAGTCCCTGACACCCACAGTCTGCACTTCGCATCTGTGCATGCGGAGGCTAGAGGCTGCTGTCCTGTCTTTCTCTATCAGGCTCCACGGCGTTTTTAAATTTTCATTTATTTACTTACTTACTTTATCTTATCTTATGTATCTTTTTGAGACAGGGCCTCACTGTGTTGCAATGGTTGGCCTAAAACTTGCTCTGTAGACCAGGCTGTCCTTGAACTCAGAGATCTGTCTGCTTCTGTTTCCCAAGTACCGGAACTAAAGGTGTGTATCACCATGCCGGGCTCTCTGCCTAATTTGGTGTTTTAAGTCAAAGTCTCTCAATGGACCTGGAACTCACTGATTTGGCCACACTGAGCTGTAGGTGTCTTCCTGTCTCTGTCCCCATTTGCCCCCTGGGTTGGGGGGGAAATGGAAGTGCAGACACAAACCACTGCACCTGTATTTTTTATACAAGTATTAGCTATCAAGTATCAGAACTCAGGTCATCTTAAGCACCATGTGTTTGACCCTTAACCAAGCCTATTCTGCATTTTAACACACATAGGGTTTCCTGTGTGGGCTCAGGATGGAGGGAGAGCGCCTACAGCCAGCATTTCATTCTGTGAACAGCATCTGATTCTGCATTTCAGCCTTCTGCCAACCTCTCCGGAAAGAGCCACGGAGTGAGTGCGGTGAGTGAGCCCATGCAGGCTGGATAGGTCTCTCTTCCATTTTCCTCTCCTTATTGAGCAACACTTCCCAAATGTACATAGCTGTCTTCAGGGACAAGGGGGATGAAGAGAGCCAATCAGAGCCACCTTTCAAAACCCACACTGCAAACTTCATCCTAGGACACTTGGGGGAGGAAAAACATAGAGACATTGTCATCCAGCAGTTTCTCTCTCCACTCTCCCTCTCCATCATGGGTTGTTAAACTGCTCTGGCTTAGGTCTCTGATCTTATCGGTTTATTGGGGGCTCTGACAACCCCAGTTAGGCCTGGGGTAGCCTAATTGAGGCTGACTGCCCAGCTCCCTAGTTGACGGGCCGTTCACAATCGCTGCCAAGAAGGTAATTGAGACAACACGGGCTCATCGCCGGCAGACTGGAGGCCAGGAAGGAAGTTGTCAATACTGAGAGGAACATAAGCCATCAAACTCAGGGCCAACATTCAGTCCGTGCTCCTCTGCCATCACTTGCCCCACATAACCAATCACTTGTTGAGGCTCTCTTGTCTGCTCTCCTACCCCCACGTCCCTTCTGGAAACATCCTCTGGTTTGCAGGTTATAAACCATTCCAGTCCGGTGAACCACAAGTGCTTAAGGGACTGCCATCCTCATCCTCAGTGTGGAGCCCCCCTTGGAGGAAAGAGCCTTCTTCCATTCTTGGGGATGGCCAGACGATAGAATCACCACTCTTCAGATCTCCAGGGACAATGTCCCCTCCTCTTCCCCCTAACCCAGCCTGTTCTGCCACATTGAATACCGATGAGTCCACTGGGTTATGCGATCATCCTTTCTGTTCTGGGAGCCAGCAGGTTTAGAGAGAGAGCTGACTTGGGATCTTTCATGACAATGAGCATTAACTACTGCAGGTGGCTTCCCAAGTTAGTTCCATCAATGATCTCAATGTCCCCATTTCTGAGGTGGCAAAACCAAGGCTTGGCCTGAGTAACTTAGTGGAGGTTCCAGAGCTGGTCTTATAATGAGGTTATCTGCAACCTACGATTGAAGGGAGGGAAGGAAGGGTGCATGCTGGCTGGTCCTGGGACTCCAGAACAGCAGGTTGGGTTGCTGTCTGCACCTACTTCCCAGTTCTGGGCACTGCCACCAAGGGTCCAGCAGAGCCACTGAGGCCTGCTCTTCCTGGAATCCAGGCAGTGGCACAAAGCAGGACAAATAAGGCTCCCTAAGTAATTCTGTGTATTCTGGGAATGGGACACAGCATGCCTTTGGGATGTTATCCTGCCCCCTCTCCATCACCAGCTTCCTCCTAGGAAATGGAACCAACGAGGGACTGAGCCAACAAGCATCCATGTTGGGATACTTCTAAACGTTGTTATAAAAAATTAATAAAAGGGAAGATGGGGTCAGTGCTCCCAGCTGCTGCTAGAGCAGACGGCCTGGAAAAGGCTCACACGTGGAGTACAGGAGGCCAGGTCTTCTCAGTCTCAGCCATGCTGTCCCATGGTACCATGGCAGGAACATCGCCACCCCCCATGCAGATCCTCAGTCCACATAGCCCCATCTCTGTGGGGCTGAGGCCCTTTTCATGCCCTGGAGTGTATGTTGCCTATGTGAACTTCATGCCCTGGAGTGTATGTTGCCTATGTTGCCTATGTGAACGCTCTTTCTTCTGGACTCCAACCATCTCCAGGCCTAATAGGCATCTTACATAACTTATTACCTGAATCTCCCCAAAGCTAGGTATAGCCCAGGCCCACAAAGACACTCAGATGAAAGCCTATGGCGTGCCTGGGTAACTGTGACCAGGCTCACTTGTGTGGCATTAACAGTAGGAGACCATCTCACGGTCAACTAAGGCAGAAGGGGAAGGGGTAACCTAGGCAGTTGCTCAAAGACCTCACCCATCTCCTCAGAAGTTCAGAGGAGACACTGCTTCAGGAAAGTAAATGCTAACAATGGAACATGGGTGAGCAGCGTCACAAGTTAGTCACCCAGGGAAGTGGCAGAAAATGCCCGCCCAGCCCTTAACAGGGGTGGGCACACCACTTCCTCGACAGCCCTCTGAAGAAAGATCTGTTTCGGATCCTTCTATTTAGAGAGGTATATGACTTTCCCACAGTCCCTAGAGATGAGTAGGGAGGCCAGGATTGGAAACTTAGGCCTGGTCACACTAAGGCAAGGCTGATCCTCACTCAGGTAATGGCTGACAGTGTCCCTGAGCCCAAAGAGGGAGCCCTTAGGTGAAGCTAGGAAGGGCTTGTGTTTTAAACGGCTTCACTGCATTGAGGCTGACATCGTTCAAGCCTCCCACTAAGAGCATTCGGTTCAGTGGGTCTGATGCGTTTGCCTACTTGTGTGAGCACCACTGCAGCAGACCGTGGACCACAGTCATGATTTCTGGACCCACCAATCATCATCCTGCATCCCTCTGCCTCCTCCAGACCTAAGCCACCGCTGATGTCCTGCCTCTAAAGCCGTTTCTGCATCACGGAAATTTCACATGGATGGAATCATGCAGGAAGCGCTCTTCATGTCAGTCTGCCTCTGTCACTCTGTACCCTGTGCTAGAGGTCCTATGCCATCACACACTCCAGCGCCAAATTATTTTTCACAACCAAGTTATATTCCTCGGGAGTGCTGATAAATTATGGGTCTGCTTCCATCTTTAGGCTCTGATACCAAAGGTACACCGGAGTGTTTTGTGGTCACCATGCTCTGAACCTTTCACATCTAGGACTTTCTCTACTGTGTGGTGACTGGGAGACAGAGCCCACCTCCTCTGTGGTGGTGAATGCGCTCCCCGTTCCACTTGCCTCTGGGCTGTGGCTCAGCCCAAGGCTTGACACCTACATCATCTTGCGTGGGATGACGCTGCAGTGATGGGCATCTTCCCAGACTCCCTGAAAGCAGCTGGAAGCAGCAGGGAAGGAGAGCAGGGTCACACCTCTTCCCACCCTTCAGCGGATTCTGAGATGATGCAGGCTTTCCCCAGGCTCCATCTTAGACTCTCTGGGTTCCTTCATGAGCTACTGGACATCCCTCACCCAGTTCCCTTTCTGCTGAGATAGCGCACAGCTGCCTGTCTTACATACAGAACCTCAAAGGAGACACATCTTGGGGTGATGCTTCATTCTGTGTCGACAGGTCAGACAAGCTGAAGACTTTTTACTCAGATCAGTTCAGAAACAAACCTAGTGAGAGAGGGCTTTAGGGTTGTCACCCCTGGGACTCCCCTTCCTACTTATGAAGGACAAGAAACAGTTCCAAATGCAGATCCAGAAATCTCCAAGACAGAGCCAAGCTGCTGCCTTTCCCTCTGCCACACTGACCGCCATGTCCTCGAGTCCCAAGGCTATGTATAGTTTAGCAATCAACCCCAAAGCTCTAGAAACCAAATAGCTGCCGGTCTTCTCTCAGACTGCCTATCCATAGGCACAAGCAGGGTGGGCAGGACGTTGGGGCCACATCCCAGAATGTAGCTTCTCCAAGTGACTTCCCTAAGCTTGGGAGGGGCTGGCTATTTCTGCTTTTAAGCCTTTCCATACACCCCTCAACACCACACCAAACTTGAAAATTCTGCCCTTTCTCCACAGGGCAAGCTCGCATTGCCGAGACAGATGGGCTTCAAACACTTACATTGCTATCTTCCAGAAACTTAAGTGCTTTTGCTATGTTGTTCAACCGAAAAATACGATGTGATGAGGATTTGTATTCATGCAGCTGAAAAACAAGAGAAGACAACACTAAGTAGGTGCTAGCAAGACAGCAAGCGCCCAGGACCACAGTGGCTTTCATTTATCACTTGCTCTTTGGAGAAGGTTAGCGATGGTGTTGAAAACACCCACAGAGGAGACATCCAAATGCCTGTGACACTGGGATCCTGGGACTTGACTCACTGGAGCTAGGGAAGAAGCAATCTCCACACGGGACAAATGTGTCCAGTGTTCTCCCCAGCCCTCCTCCTCTCTAGGGACCTGCAGTAACATGCTCTCATAGCACATGTGACTCTTTGCTTAGGGAAGCGAGCTTGCTGTCCTCGTCAAGGCTTGGCTCAGCTTCCCAGCAGCAGCAGACATGGCTGGTTTCTGGCTAAGAACTTTTGCAGCTGGGGCTTTGGGGAGGATGCACAACGGCCAGCTGCAGATTGGAGCTCCATTCCTGCCAGAGCGAGCACACAGCGAGCTCATCTCCAGAGCACACACGGGTCAGTTCCACCAGAAAGGACCTACTGATGGGCAGTAGAGGACTCAGCTTTGCTGAGCTGCAGGGCCAAAGGTCAAGGCTATGGAGGTTGTTGCCATGTGCCCTGGCTTCAAAGTGGGAGTCCGTCTACCGGGAACACAGAACAAGGGGCTGAAGTGTGCTTTCTTACAAGGCCTTTGGGGGCCCCTGCAGCTTGACTGAGACCTGCCAAGAATGCCTCAGCCCGCTGTGAACAGCTTCCAGGCCTGAGTGCACTCAATGGCATCTTTTACTTCCTGAGTATGAATGGGGATGACAGGCCTCTACCATGCATTTCGGAGTAGCGCTATTTGTGTGCTTGGTTGGTTGGTTTTCGAGACATGGTTTCTCTGTGCAGCCCTGGCTGTCCTGGAACTCACCATGTAGCCCAGGCTGGCCTCAATCTCACAGAGATCCACCTGCCTCTGCCTCCCGAGTGCCAGGACTAAAGGAGTGCGCCATCATGCCAGGCAAGAAGCCATGCTTTTAAAGTCAGTTCCAGAGCCAGCATGGGCTGTGTTGTGCGGTATGTGCCACGGCGTGTGCAGACAGGCACAAGGTCAAATCAAACACTCAAGATGGAGCCAGTTTCTCAACTTAAACACATCTGGCATCTAAAAGAAGGAAGATTTTATTGTTGTCTATATGGGCATGTGTGCACAGGTGCAGATGCCAGTGGAAGTGGTTGTAAGCCACCTGGTGTAGATCCTGGGAATCCAAATCCAGCCCTCTGTGAGAACCATAATCTCTGTTAACTGCGGAGTCATTTCCCAGCCCCTGTGACAGGCATCTTGGACTGGACCATTGGCCACCTTGTGGGGGAAGAGGAGGTACATCTGACAATGCCTGGGAACATTTTGGTTACGACACTAATGGGTGTTCCCAGCATTGAGAAGTTACCTCTTCTTAGCTAACAACCATGGATGGTTTTCCCTAAGTCTCAGCTGTAACTCCGGTTAACACAATGCTTAGTCCGGTAACTTGATCCTTCGGTTCCAATTCTGAACCATCACAGACTGTCCTCTGACCTCTACATATCCACTACATACTATTACATGTGTACCCTTTCCACACATGTGCGCACAAATACACAGTAATAAAATATTAAGAGAAAAAGATACTACTCAGTTACATATGTTCATATGTAACTCATTTTAAGATTCACTTATTTTTATTTTATGTATATGAGTGCATGTATGCATATGTACCGTGTGTGTAGTGTCTGCAGAGGCCACAAAAGGGCATCAGATTGGCCTTGAACTAGAGTTACAAATGGTTGTGAGCTGCCATGTGGTGCTGAGAATCGAACCTGTGTCCTCTGCAACAGCAGCCAGTGTTCTTTAACCGCTGAGCCATCTCTCCAGCTCTCATATCACTCTATTTATTTTAAATTTATTTGTGCATATGTGTCTGTCACATTGTGCAAGTGGCCTCAGAGGACAGAGAAGAATACTGGGACCTTCTGGAGCTGGAGTTAGAGGCCATTGAGACTGCCTGACGTCGGGGCTGGAAACAGAACTCAAGTCCTCCATAGGAGTAGGAAGTGTTCTTAGCTACTGAGCCATCCCACCAGTCCCACACTTCACATGATAAAGGATGTCACCCTCCAGCATTTCCTGAAGCTGAGGTACACTCTGTCTAGATGTGTGCATATATTTATTTCCCGATGTTATGGTTACATCTGGGATGTTCCCCCAATATCTACACACTGAAGACTCCAGGTGCTGCTGGCCGATACACACCAGCCTATGCGGCTATTGGCTGGTGATGGAACCTTTAGGGGGTGGGGCTTGGTGGGAGGAAGTCAGGTCTTTTGAGGTGTGCCCTTGAGAATAACGTTGGAATCCCTGGTCGCTTTCTTTTTGCTGCCATGAAAGGAGAAGCTTCCCTGCTACACATTCGTGTGATGTTCTGTCTTTCCTCAGGCCCAAAGCAACAGGACCAAGTGGCCATAGCCACTTCCAAACCCACGAGCCCAAACAAACCCTTCTTCCTTTAAACAGTTGACTTGGGCACTTTGTCACAGTGATGCGAAGCTGATGCCCAGATGAAGACGAAGCCTATGATGTACTTCCTTTTGTACTTTCTCCAACACACATACCAGATTTCGCCCGGAGAGGACTTCTAGCAAAGCCATTAGGATTTTTCCATCTTGAATATCAACGAATAGGTCCGTAACTTCTAGAGGTGGATCACACTGTAGGACAGGAGGAAAAGAAATCCGTTAGTGACCTGGGTGGTCAAGAGAGAAACTTGCAGGGCTGTAGACATGGCTCAGCAGTTAAGAGTAGTGGCTGCTCTTCCAGGAGGGCCCAGGATTCAATTCCCAGCACCCACACGGCAGCATGCAGAAGTCTGTGGCTCCAGTTCCAGGGGATCTGACACCCTCACAACAATGCACGTAAGATAGTTAAATAAATTATCTTTTAAAATAAATTATCTTTTAAAAAAAAGAGAGAAACTTGCAGGCAGAAGGATCACCTGAGAGCCAGAAGCCCTGGAAGGGACCTCTGGCCAGCAGGTGTAGGACTGCTTGGCATGAGAGCTGTATAAAGGAACGAATTAAGAGGCTTTGGAGGACCCCCTAACATGAGATCTCAGACCCCAAGGCTGGATCACAATCAGGCTTCTGTCTAAGGAGAGTAAGAAATGGCACGCCCCATATGTTTCCAAAGCATAAGGGAATTTGGGGTCCAGGGTGATGATAGCTCAGTTGATAAGTATCCGCTGTTGTACCAGCATGAGGACCTGGGTTCAAGCCTCCAGTGCCCACATAGACAGCTGTTATCCCAATGGCAAGAGGTTGACACAGGAGGACCCCTGAAGCTTGTTGGTCAACCAGCTTTGCTGAATCAGTGAGCCCCAGTCCCACCCAGTAAGGGATGCTATCTACAAAAAACAAGGGGGGTGGCTTCTAGAAAACACAACTGAGATTAACCTCTGGCCTCCACAGGCACTCATATTCTACCTATCTACATACATCAAAATAACACACACACACAGATACACAGATACACACACACACACACACACACACACACACACACACACACACGACTTCTGTTACGGCTCATGGAAAATTACCTAGTGCAAACACTCAGTTTTGATTTGGGGAAAGGGAGGAGCTAGGAGGCTGGGTGATCATCAAATAGCTATTTGGTAAAATCCAGTGTCCTGCATCTGGCCTTGAACAGTCGGAATGAATGCAAACGAGATCCAATGGGTCAGAAGCCTGCATTCTTGAGCTCCTGTGGCCTTGGAGAGAATTTCCCCTTACCTTTTGTCCAGGTTAAGGGAGTGATTGGATGCTTCATGAACCCTCAGGGACAATGGGAGGCAGTGCCCCTAGCTAACTGGGGCAGTGCAACTCTTCCCAGCACACACCCGGGGTGAGGAAAATCTCAATACAATGTTAGCTGGGCCAGCACCTTCTCTTCTGGGAAAGCTTCCTTCCTTCTGTGGCCCCTTGGTGGGATCATGTTTTACTGGTTAAGGAAGGTGGCATTTCCTCATCCTTTATATGAGTCCTAGTCTGCTGCCCCAGTTAACCAAAATATAGGCTGAGGCTATCTACAGGTGCACAGAAAAGGGCACGCTTCAAGGGTTTCAGGGAGTTTGAACCAAAAGGCAATGTGTTTTCTTTGCAAATCCTGCAGCCTCAGCCACATTCCATGCCTGGCAGACTGCTTCCTTTTAGGAGACCCCAACCAAACACCCCTGATGAATGGGCTAACAAAATTTCCAGTTAGCCGCCTGACAGGGGTAGAACCTGGCCTGGGGCTAATTTCCCTCGGCTGTTCCTGGAAGGGCCTCAGCATCAAACAGGACCTTGGCCAGAGTCCACCGCTGGACGGCAGGGGGTTAGGCTGAAACCACTCCAGTCCAAACACTCCCCGGACCAACATTCCCCAGGCTTCAGGAGTCTGCTACGGCCGGAACCACAGTACCCCTCACCTCCCCAGGGCTTTCTGCATGATCGAACTCCTTCTGTAAATTAAGGAATTTTTCCAGAAGCCAGAGACTCAGTAAATATTCCTGACAGCCTTCAAATTGCAGTTAAGCCCAATTCACCAAGGACTTCCTAGGTTTCCTTTGCATGAAAGGCTGTTTTTAAAAGTCTCGGGGCTGGAAACAGGGCCGTTAATTTCTCTCTGCTTATTACACATCGCTTTCAGGTGCTGTCTGATTTATCCTCAGAATGGGTGCTACATGCTACCTACCTGCTCCTCCCTCCCCCCAGAAAAGGGACAAGAGCAGGCCTGGCCAAAGAGAGTGTCCTTGACATGACAAATGCATGTTCCAAGAGGTTCACACTGGGTGGCAGGTAAGTGTGGGGCATTTGTTAGACGACTCTCGGCTCTTTTCAGTATTTATTTATTTTTACTATAAAAAAAAAAAGACTAAGAAAGACTTTCTGGCTCTACCCTGTCCCCTGCTAGGAATTCTCAAGCAGGCCGACATGCATCAGGCATTAATTTAGGGGCTTGCCAAACTCAAGATTGGGGACTGGTTTTCTTTTTTTGTCCTCCCGAAACCCCAGTAATGTTTTACTTTATGCGCAATGCCAAAAATGCGCCCTCAGTCAAAACAACCAGCAAAGGATTTATCATGCTTTAAGTGTCATCCCTTGTCGTTTTCCATCTCGTGTCCAAGATGCTCATGGGGGATATGACAGCACCATGCTATCCATTCTGAAGGAGGGACGGGGGCTCAGGAGGGGCGGGACACACATGCCTGCTCAGGACACAGGCAAATGTGAAAGAGAACCGCCTCAGTCAGGAGTTCCACTTCCTGCTTTCTAATAATGGCACGGGTTTCTTCCAGGCCAGTGGTTCTCATCCTTCTTAACGCTACGACCCTTTAATATAGTTTCTTGCACTGTGGTGACCCCCAACCATAAACCATTTTCATTGCCATTTCATAACTATAATTTTGCTAATGTTATGAATCATGATATAAACATCTGATAAGCAGGATATCTGATATGTGACCCTTGTGAAAGGGTCATTCAACAACCACGTACGTGGGGTCGAAGGTGGGGGTGGGGGTGCAACCCACAGGTTGAGAATCACTGCGCCAGGCCAGCAGTGGCTATGCTTTTACCTTTGAAGAGGAGAGAAACACTTTAAATTTCCTACAGTGGTGGGACAGCCAGCTTCCAGAAGACAGGAGAGACTGGGGGCGGGGGGGGGGGGGTGCGGGTGTAGATGGAGAACAAGAGAATGTCCATAGGGGAGAAGAGGTGGTGTTGGTACAAGAAACATCAAATTATCTGGCTTTCTCCCAAGATAGTCTCATGTAGCCCAGGCTGGCCAAGGACAACCTTGAACTTCTCATTTCCTGCTTCCATCTCCCAAATTGCCCTGATTACAGGTGGGTACCATCACAGCTGGCTTATGTGGTGCTGGGGGTCAAATCTAGGGCGCTGTGTATAAGCAAGCACTCTCCCATCCGCTCCCCATCCTCAGCTCCACAGATCAGCTTTCCTGAAGTGTGAATTTTCTTGCAGCCTCGGGGAACTTGGGATAACATATTCCTGGGGCCTACAGGTCCAGTCTCACGGGCACGGGGAGCTCGCATTTCTGCATGCTTTCTTCTCTTTCCTCACTGAGTGTTGATCACCTGCTCGCCCCTCCTCAGCTCCTCCTGCCTGAGACTGCGTCAGCTGCCTGGATGCTATGTGTGTGCAGCAGACGCAACAGAAAAGTCAAGCTGCATGACCAAAGAAGGTGAGAAAGGAAGGGACAGAGAAGAGCCCCTGAGACGCTGTAGAAGAACTCAGGGAGCTTGGGATGTCTGCGCACCTGGGTCCTCATTATAACAGTCTACTGTGGGCTGTGGGAGGACTCAAGGAGACCTGGCTGGCAGTGTGCGGCATGAGGCAGGCTGCCTGATGCGGAGCATGGCTCTTCACCAACCACGTTTAAGAGGCTTTGCTAAAGGATGTTCAGAGCTCTTGCTCGTGTCAGTTCAATGATGGCTGTTAACACCCCCAGAGTGGACAGCTGGATTGTGTCTGATGTAGGGTGATGGCCTTCTGCCCATGGAAGCCCTGAAATTGCTCAACATGGAATAGTTTCCATTGTCCACTCATGGATTTTCTTCCCCGGCTACGTGGGTAATCACAGAACAGCTGTGTCTGCTCTCTGTGTCTGCTCCATATACTGAGAGTGGAGAGTAGTGAGAAGACCCATGAAGATACAAATGCACAGAGCCATGAGTGCACTTAAGCCATGGGGATGGCTTAGTCCACGAAGCCTTTGTCATAGAAGTACGGGGACCAGAGTTCCAACACCTAGAACCCAGAAGTGGTGGCATGCATTTGTAATCCAGTGTACCTCAATTGAGACAGGAGGTGGAAATGGGAAAAGTCACAGAAGCTCATGGGATGGCTAGCCTGGTGTGTATAGCAGTGACCAAGAGACCCTGTCTCTATAAGGTGGAAGGCAAGGACTGATACCTAAGTTGCCCTCTGATTTCTGCATACTTACATATATGAACATAGACATGTCCATACACATACATACTATACAGTACACAAAGTCACACACATACACACACACACACACACACACACGGCAGGGATCATGTCTCCTCCATGCCATTCTACAGAACCACCAGTGTAGCTGCAGGTGAATCTGTGACTTACCCACTCCCAGACCCCCACTTGCCTTTTCCAGGTGTAGGTTTATCCATCGCGTAAAAGTCCTCTTCTGCACATTTTCCCTCTCAACTGCAAACAAAGAAATGCCGTTAGCCAGGGAACAGAAGAAACATGGGCAAAATCCTGGCCCCCTTTCCGGGGAAATTCCATATGGACAGACGACAGACTGAACCCTGCAGGGTCCCTGGCATGAGCAAAACCCTTCACAGAAGGGGCCCACCGGGGGCTTATGTAGTACCTGATCCCCGTTTTCCAGCCCAAGATTGAGCCTCTACGTAACCCCACAAATTCAGACTGATTTTGAGTGTCCAGCTACCTGGCTAGAAGGCGAATAAGCTCTGGTGGGAAGTAGTGTGGTCACAGTGAATCTACACAGCTGCCTAGAGGTGGAGGTACAGAGCCGTGGGATGGGGAGATGGTTCAGTGGGCAAAGCCCTTGCCAGGCAAGCGTGAGGACCAGAATTAGAATGCCCAGAACCCAGGAAAAGTCAGACACAGCAGAGTGCATCTCCAATCCCAGAGCACCTGTCTTCATCCCAGGCTGGAATAAAGACAGTGTTAGGGATTCAGGTGGGAGCTCTGGGATGTGCTGGGGTGTTGAAGAAATAGTCTCCCAGCGTTAGGGTCAGACTCCCTGTCACCTTCCAGTTCCTTGTGTTCAGGCCTGTCTCCCACCCCTACTTCCGCTCAGCAAGCTGAGGATGAAAGGCCCACTCCCAAGTTCACGGAGGAAACCTGGGGTCCTGCATTCCATGGTAATGCAGGTGTTTTTGAGATAGGGTCTAGGATGGCTTCTAACTCGGGACCCTCCTGCCTCGGCCTCCAGAGTTCTGCATGTGTCATCGTGCCCAGTTTTGTAGCTCTCACTTTTAGAGCTAGACTAGAAGATTCTGCAGGCACCTGCTGCCTAGCCGTGGTGAAAGGACAACCCTAAACCACAATGACAGCAGGGGACAGCACTCCCTCACAATGTTCCTTAGTAAGAAGTGCTCACTGTGCTGGGGGGGGGGGGGCACTGCCACCCATCAGTTACGATCTGGGCAGCTTCTGTTCATTTGTTTATCAAACTGAGACCTTATAAACCCTGCCCCTGCTAAGGAAAAACTGTCCTAAGGATGGGCGAAAGGAAACAGAGCTGGGAATCATCTCAGGTCCGCCCCACATCCGCTGTTGCCCTGGAGATAGGAAGTGTGTTTTCAGCTCCATCTCTCCCAATAACCGGTAACAGCAACAATGACTTATAAGAAATTCACTCAGCAGGGCTGGAGGAGATGGCTCAGTGGGTAACAGGCTTGCTCTGTAAGCATGAAGACCTGAGTTCAAATCGCTGGTGCCCGTGTAAAAGCGAAGTGCATCAGTGTATTTCCACAACCCCAGTCTGGAGAAAGGTGGATCCTGGGGGTCCTTGGACAGCCAGCCTAGATGGTACAGCAAGCCTCAAGTTCAGTTCAGTGAGATTGTGTCTCAAATAGGGTGGAGAGCAATAGAGGAAGATATCAAACAACCTCTGTCCTCCACATGTGCACACCTGGGTGGGTACACACCTACCTACATACATGTTTTATACATACCCTCATATATATGTGTGTGTGTGTGTGTGTGTGTGTATAATATATATATCTATATATATATAATATACACACACTTGTTTTATACATGATACTGACACATTTATATGCACACAGGTTTTTTACATACACATACAGATGAATAAACTGGGTCTAAATGCCCCATGCTTCTTCCCCCTCCCTCCTGAGCTCTGTGGTCCAAGCCATCCCAGACCCATGGAAGACCTAGGTTGTGTACCTCTGAGGGCCATGGCACTAGAATCTGTATCTTGATACATGGTGGCCTACGGTGGCTGCCACCTCAGTGTCCAGCCACCATGCCTCTCAGGAAACTTCCCTGAGGTGCTGAGGCAGACAACTCCTAATTTACCTGCAGATTACTAAGCTCTGGATTTCAGCACAGTAGAACATACTACAGACGCCGGAAAACACTTCATATTCCTTTAGCAAGGAGAAAATGAGAGCCAGTTTGTCTGCTGCCGGAGAATAAGGCTTCGCTTTTGCTTTTCCATAACGACTACAGTGCTTTTTTGGCCCTTGGCCACATGGTTAGGTAGATAGTGGCACCCATAAATCAGATTTTAATATTGTGCCCTTTGTGCTTTTTAATTGAAGAGCCAGCAGACAGTAATTACGCATGTGACTGCCTTCCTCTCCTTTGTCTCCTTCTCTAAAGAAGGTCACTGACAAGTAGGCATGCCATTTAAAGCTGTGATCCCAGCAGGCTGTGCTTCCAGGAGAGGGAAAGGACCGGTTGACAGCAATAAGAATTGAGACAAGGAGGCACTTGCTGATGTGACTGAGTCCCAGAACCCCAGAGACTCCTGAGAGCTGGAGTGGCCCATCTCAAGCGCCAGTTCAGAAATGTCCACCTCTGGACCTAGCTCTGTCTTGTTCCTTTTGATGGCTGAAGTTTTCCAGGGTACTTACTTGGTTGCCAAGCCCTGCTCAAAGGACGCAGTGACTACTTCTCATCTGCCACTAATAGGAGTGACACACCCATGTGCAGCTTTGCACCAGCAACCCGGCACACAGCTCTTTATGCACAAGCAAGCAAATGCATTTCTCATCCTTGACGGCTCCAAGTGGGGCTGCTGGGTCTTAGTGGTAGGCACATTTAAAATTTTAATAGCCACTTCCAAACTGCCCTCCCCAAAGGCTGCCCGAGTTTATACTTTCACCCCCATCTGTCTTTAAACAAGTTTATGGGGATTGTAAAGTATTTACACGCACACATTCAAACACCCAGGTTTGCTTCTCCAGCTGGCCTCAGAAAGAGCAAAGCACAGACCCCGAAACAGAGAAGCATTTAGTAAGAAGGCTGAGAGAGACCTCACAGCTGAACTGCGTGTGGGAATGCAAACGTGAACATGGGTGTTCATGCCCTACATACCTACCCACCTACCGTCAATCTACCACCACACAACCTCCTCATTCATCCATCCACCCAACCAACCACTTACCTCTTCCCATTCCTCCATCTATCTCTTCACCTACCTGTCACCTACCTCCCCACCTATCCACCTGCCCAACATGGCATCCACTTACCCACCCAGCCATCTATCTGCCCGTCCATATCCACACACTCGCCCATCCACACTCCCAGCTGATATTTATGCAAAGATGACTAGACGTTGGAACAACGCCAGGCCCTGTGGGTAAAACCAGCAATGAATTAAGTATTCACAGAATCTGCACTCCAAGAATCCCGGCAAGTGGGAGGGAGGAACAAAGATGGCATGTGGTACGAGTGAAAGCGAGAACGGAGTAGAAGAGCCAGGCTTACAGGGATGGAGAGCGCTGACTTTGCATCCCATAGGGTACTCTTCTGGGGCCCTACAGGAGAAGAGGGACAGAGGGACTCAGGCTGTGTATGTATTCAACCCCTGCTCTGATTCAGAACCAACCTTGAGTTGGCTTTGCTTCTGTCCCCAACAATCCCTGTGGGGAACACTGAGCAGAAACCATCTTTTACAGGAGGGGTTTGGTGATGATGATGGATAGCGGGAGACAGACAGACACAATCACAAATAGCGGACAGGCTCCAAGCTAAAACTGGGACACATCACCCAATCCACAGGACAGAATGTGAGGGACTCCAGACTGCCACACAACCACGTTGTGGCACACTGTACTGTACAACTGTGGGCCAAGTTCTCACTCTACGGAACGAGGACAGCCATGTCCACCTCCGAGGAACGCTATGGGAGCACATGAGGTCACCCTGAGATCATCCTGGCAGCCGCTGCCTCCAGGCCAGTTTCCCCGGCCCCTGGCTCACACAGCACACCCTGGACTTAGGGATTTTTGTCTGGTGTCCCGACAGAGGCCCAGTACACTTGCACGGCAGTCTCCATTTCAAAATGTGGCCCCCTCCTGCAGGCATTCCTACTTCGGGCCTGCCAAGACTCCATAAACTTTATATAGTTTCCATAAATCCAACGGCCCCTTTTTTCCTCTCACGTTGTAAAGGTGTAGGAAGCCGTTTCTCTGGAAAGGTCTGGCCTGAGCACGGAGTGGCTGTGGGGCCCAATGTGGGCAACAATGAAGTAATAACAACGCTGTAAAATTGCCATCCCAGCTCTGCCTGGCCTGTGGGGGTGCAGGAGGAGAAGGCAGGGGGCAGAGGCCCAGGACCCCAAAGACTAGGCAAAGGAGGGGCAGGAGACTGGGGAGGCCCTGCTGTCTAGCCCAAGGCCACAGCCCCAAATTCCCAGATACCAATTCTGCCTCCAGCTTGGCTAAAAACAGATTTTCTGAAAACGGAAGATGGGACATCCCTCCCGTCTGCAGGCACCGAGGGGTAGGCAGGCTTGGGAGCTGGCCATCACTGAGAAAGGGACACGTTCTGGGAGTTAAATTCCTTCAGATATAAGTGTGGTCCTCACCCCTCCAAAGGAAATTTCTCTTGGCAACAGACAGAGAACCACAGAAAACCGCAACCAATCACAATGCAGAGCTGTGGAGTCCAGACCCAATGGATACATCTACAAATCACTTCCCCACCTAAGGCCCAGGGACCGCTGTGCGAGAAAGAACAAGAGTGTGAGAGGCAGCGGGTCATAGAGTGTGCTGTTAAATTGTCTCCTAGGGACATGGGAAGCTACAACCATAAAGTCTCGTTGCCATGACTGCCAGAACATGAATAGAACAAGGATATAACATAAGACATGCTTACAATGATATGGGGGTGGGCCTGGGGGAGCCCAGGAGGCCTTAGCCCTACACAAAGAACTACAGACAACTAACAAATGTCAAGAGGGAGGAGAAACAGTCTCCCCCAAGGTAGAGCACACCAATTGGTTATCCAACACCAAATGGTCAACCCTGAAAACACACAGACAAATAATATTATACAGACTGAGAAAAAGTTGTCTTATGTATTTAAAAATCTCTCTCCCCCCCCTTTGTGTGTGTGTGTGTGTGTGTGTGTGTGTGTGTGTATGCAATAGCAATTAATGAAAAAAGAGGCTACGGATTTGAAAGAGGGAAAGGTGAGGT